GAGGGATGACATTATTCTCCTCTTATTCGGCCCTTGAGACCACATCCAAAGTACCGTGCGCAGTTTGGGGATCCTTAGTATGAAAAAGACGTTTAAAAACTGGAGAAAGTCCAGTGGAGGGCTGCCAAGGTGATTAGCAGCACTGAGGGAAGTGGATTTGTTTAGCCTGGAGAAGAGAAGGCTAATGAAGGATCTAATTGCCGTTCCTAACTACGGTTACAAAGAATATAGAGCCAGGCTCTTCCCCAAGGCTCACAGAGAAAGGACGAGGTAACAATCACAAGTTGCAGCACAAGAAATTCCAAGTAGATGCTGGGTGGATGGGGGAATCACGAAAAGGGTGCTCAGGTACTGAGAGAGGTTGCCCAGAGAGGTTGTGGAACCTCCAGCCGTGGTATTCAAAGCTTGCCTAGACAAGGCCCTGAGCAACCTGAGCTGGCTCTTAAGTGAGCCCTGTGTTGAACAGGGGTTACCCCAAGTGACCTCCGACCTAAATTATTCTGTGATTCTTTCTTGAAGCTTTTTTAAAATACATAGTAATGATTATGAATATAGATGTCAGAAGTTAGGCGTCTCTACCAAAGTGGGGTCTCCTTATTCATGTAACTGGTTGTAAATTTTCAGTCTTATTTTGGAAAAGTAACCTAAGAGGTAGAGAAGGAAGTTTTTATGGATAGGACTGCATGTGTGCATCTGTGCCCAGAGGGCACAGATAACTTTTTGTGCTCTTCAACAGGCTGTAGCGCTCTCAAAGCTGTCCCTGGAAACCTCTGGTAATTCTAACTTAAACGCAGATAGAAAACGAAGAGGAGATCACTAGCTTACTATTAGGTCTGTGGCATTCATTCTTGATCCTGAAAAGTCCTCCAATGCATTGGACTTGGAAACCAGTGGGTTTTTTTTTTCCTTTACTTAAAAAACGGTTGTTTATTTTCAGACATACTCACAATCTGTCATGATTCCTTAGGAATAGTTTGCCCAAATAAGATTGAAAAGCACCTTCAACAACATACTCATCAAAAGACAGTGGTAGATGTTTGGATTTTAACTTTATAATAAGATAGTGATCATTAAAGTCTTAGTTTTGGGAAATGATGTTTGATATTGGGAGCAAACTGTATTTCAGTTGTTTCTACCTTTTGCTATCACTCCAAGCCCCCAGAAATCTAAGGCTCTTAAAATTGTGATGAACAGTGTGATGCAGTTTAAAGATGTGTTAGTATAGGAGACTTGTGTCTAATGAAAATTTTCAAGTGCTGTTCAAAGTAGACTTTACGTTTGGTTAAAAATGTCTTTGTAAATTTCAGAACCTAATTTTAATTTCATTTTTAACATGATGCTTCCTCCCCCTCCCATCTCCAAATCTGAGTTTTTTTAATCTAACTCTCAGCAGGCACGTGCTATCTTTATAGTGCTTCAGTATTGCACTCCAGGTTAAGATGCCCTTCAAATTTTGATTAAATGAAGACTGGCATTCGGAACTGCAAAAGTAACCGCTCTGTGAGCTAGGCCACTCTTCTCTTCCATTTGACTGGTTCTGCAAACTGGCAGTTGTTTTTAACCTTGGTCTTCCTTTGACATTTGATATGAAAAGACTTCTGTTGTCGGTTTTACTCCTTTTGCCGAAGCCTCAAATTTTTCAGAAGCGAAGAAATACTCAGTAGAGAGGGACTCTGGCTGTAGATGTCTCTTCCCCTTCATCTCCCCACAGCAGAGTAGAAACTTGAGGGTAAAATAATGTTAAATGATCAATACTGATAGAAGTAGGTTAAAGACATAGGATAGTAGGTTTCAGCACTGTGGCTTTTTTTTTTTTTTTTTGCTTTTTTGCTTATATGAATTTCTTGTCACATGTCCTAGAGTGCCTTAAGCTGGCCTGGGAGTAGTCTGATCAGAGTTAATGTTGTGTGGCTGTATGGTCTTATTATTTTTTTTTTTTTAAGCTCATACGTTAGTGTTGCAGGGTTTTCTGGTGGGAGACAAAACTCTGTTCAATTTAACATAATGTCTTTAAAAGTGCTTAATGCAGTTGAATATTAGGTATATCTTAAGAGGGGATAGTACGAGTTCTGTGAAATTTAAGGAGTGATAGTGGCATCTGTCACAAACATACTTTTGAGGATTGTTTCTGCTTTTTCTCAGACCTGTGGTTGTAAGTGCATTTAAGATTTTATAACAAAATACTCATTAATCCGTGCAGTTGTATTATTTAGTGACAGGTCATAGCTTGAACGAGTTCATTAGTAGTAGCTCTAGTTTTCCCATATTTTGATATGTAAGATTTTTTAATGTTGTTGGAAAATAGGATTTTTCTGCGCTTTCTTTGAGACTTCTCTATGCTGTCTTAAACTGCTAATTTGTAATTCTTGAAACTTGCTTCATAATATAATTAAAGCTTAATAGAAAGACTGGAGCTCTTGCTTCCGACACTTCCCCTCCCTGTGTTTTTATGCATAGCTGTAACAAGTTACTGATGTATTGTTCTCGTTTGAGAAATGGTCACTGCATCCAGGTTATGACAAGTAAAACTGTTTTGCTCTAAATTCTGTTGCTTCAAGGCATGAGAAGTCTCTTTAGGGTTGAGCTGTGCTCCTTGCACAATCTATCTGATCTGTTCAGTGCAACCATATGGATTCTGCTACTATCAGGGACCTCAGGAAGAGACTTTTTTATGGTAAACGCTGGCAAAGATTGAAAGCATGAAGCACTTAGTTCTTTTACCAACTTAATAGCATCTATGTTCTTGCACATTCTAGTTACTGTCTCAGAAAGCCTGGTTACACTGCGCCTTTCTTTGGGACTTGGTAGGGATCTTCTGAACTGTGGTGACTGGGACTTCATGTAATACATTAATAGTTGTAGTAAGTTTGTTGTTATTGAGGTGTGGTTGGCAAATGACATCTGGATACTATATCAGAGTATGATTTTCTTTACTCAGTAAAGAAATGATGTTATACTGTGCTAATACAGCATTTGGGTGCTGTTGGCTAAATATAGATACTACTATTGCTTTTTAAATTTCACAAAACTCTTACCAGTGCCCTTCTCATCAAGGTAATACGTGAAAATACAATCTTAAGTAAAGACTTGAAATTCTTGCATAGCTTGCAGTGTTTAGTTTTCTTGCCAGTTTTGTGGCAGAGAAGCACTTGTAATCCCAGAGGGGAGTGGAAGTAGGGACAACATTGGCATTGTAGAGAAATTAATTTAGAAAGCAACTCAAAACATTGAGTATATTTTACTGTCAGTTTCTTTGTTCCTAGTTTTTACTTTCTTGAAGCTGATGTAAGGAAATAGGACAAATGTACCAAAAATTTAATTTAATTTACCCATATGCCTTGGAACATCTAAAAGGTGTGCTGATAAGTTTGTGATATGCACACTGAACTGAAAACATTACTAAAATTTATGTAGAATTGTAATTCATTCACAGCTAGATACAGATTTAAGCCAATTGCTTGATAACTCCTGTATATATTTAATGCAGCACTCATCTTATTTCTTTCTTCCATTTTTATAGAGCAGTTTCCTTTCAAAATGGCATTAACCCTAGTAGTCTAGTGTGTGAGGTAAAGAGCCTTAATGTCCTTTTAACATATGTTGTGGATCATGTTTATAAACCCAGAAACAACATTAAGTTTTTTTCTGATATTTACCTTGGTGCATATAAGAATTTTTTTTATATACTGCTTTATTGCTACTGTCCTGAAAAGCTCTTCTTTTTTTAATCAGTGATGAAGAAAGATACAGATACAGAGACTATGCAGAAAGAGGCTATGACCGCCATAGAACAAGCAGAGAGAAAGACGACCGACATAGAGAAAGGAGACACAGAGAGAAGGAAGACACTAGGCACAAGTCATCTCGAAGGTTTGATTTTTAATAGGATATGAAAGACTTGACCAGTTTAAAAAAATAAATTTTAAAAAGAACCCCAAATAAACTGGAGTCTTCTGGAAAGACTGTAAACACTTAGATGTACTACGTGGAACAGATCTGCCATATAAAATGTTATAGACAAAATGAGATGCTGGCCCTGATAACTTCATGTTGAGTGATGTATAATACAATCCTAGCTAGTGAACAGAAATTATGAATTTGGGGACAGAAGGGGAAAAGTGGTGGGTCAGAAAGAGGCAGAGTGAAGCTAGCATTCAGCAACATTGCATAAAAACTTAGAAATGATTCTTACAAAGCAAAAGAACTCTTATGTTCACTTGATATAAATTGTTCAAGTTAATCCTTTTAAAGTTAGAAATAAAGATTAAGTCAGGGAAAAGGGATCAGTAAGAATTTTCAGCTCTCTAGCAGATGCCAGTAGGGACATGGTATTACTAAAAGTATAGCAATTCGGATATGGGTTACAAATGTGAAAAATCATTCAGATTTCCTGGTTTAAAAAATATAGCATGAGTGGGGGTATATGTAACATGCCATCAGAAATCCAGTTTGACCCTTACCTCTAAATAGTATGTGGGACAGAAAAAGAGCAGGTGCCAGTTTTCAAATATGACTGCAAAGGCTAATTACTCAATGTTTTGCCGTTAAACGGGGCCTGAAGTGTCATGCCTACCTGTGCAATGGTTTGAGGTATTTTTTTTTTCTCTCCTTTCTTATTTTAGTAACAGCAGACGCCGTCACGACAGTGAAGAAGGGGACAGCCACAGAAGGCACAAACACAAAAAATCCAAAAGAAGCAAAGAAGGAAAAGAAGCCAGTGGTGAACCTGCTCCGGAACAGGAAAACACTGAAGCTGCCCCTGCAGAATAGGCTTGTGTGATTTTTTGCCTACTTGCATATATATTAGTTCCAGAAATAGATTACTATAAATCCCGTTATTTTTCTGGGTATTAAAATAATTTGCTCTTAATCTTGTTCTGTTAGTATGAAATCGAAGGTTACTTTGTTTTTTTTGGAAATAAAAGAATGAATTTTTCATGTTAAGATTCCTGGACTGACTTTCACTTTTAAGAAAGAGTGAGAAAATTCCATTTGAGATCTAGATGCTGATGCTCTTGCTGTATATGTAGGGCTTGAATTCTCCGTATTAAATTGACTCCTTTTTTCCATAGTCCAGCAGGAAGGTTATTCTTCTGGGTTTAGAAGCAGTTTGCATTCACTTTATTAGATACTGACATCTGGATTACTATGAGTTTAGTATAGCCCTTGGCGTTCATATCTGAAAAGGTCATCCTTTACTACAGGGACAAGGAGGAATTCCAGACACTTTGAGAACCTTATTCTGAAGTGAAACAACAAAAAAAAGGGAAAACCTGGGAAGTTGTTGACTGGTTTTAATCTGATGGAACACTGACTGTAGTGGTCTTGCACTTGGTAATTATGTCTAGTTTGTTTAGGTGCATAAGGATAAACTAAGCTGGACATCTGTCCTACTCCTTTTCAGTGGCTTAAGAGAAAGTTCATTGTGGTCTGTGTTAGAGGGGGACAGCTGTCCTTAACATGGTAAAGATTAAGGAACACATCTTCCCATTGTTAGCTTTTCAGGAAAAAATAAAAGATTTCAAAACTTGAGTTTGCTGAGAAAGGTAAAGAACTATTTTAAAGAAAAAATAAATCTATCACTTTCAGATTTACTCCAGCCAGAACACTATCAAGTGAGATTGGCATGGCAGTCCTGCAAAAAAAAGATACTGCTCTTGTCAGGGTAGTATTTAGGAGTCGTACTTGATGAGATTAGCAGAGTGCAGTATGCTTATTTGAAAAAAAAATTCTATGTAAAAATCCTAGATTTATTAATATTAATTAGAAGCTATCAGGAAAAATAGTTCTTTTGATTTGGGGTGAAAATAATGTCTGTACAAGTACACAGTTACAGTTATTTTTAATAATTTTAGAAGTAAAATTTAATTCACAGCTTTACAGACTAATAAGCAATACTTGAAAGTCTTGAAAATACCAGCTTCATGCTGACCATGAAAAAGGTACATGTAACCAAAGTGCTATTACTGTGTTGGGTGAAAACCTTCACCTGATTTTTTTCGATTAGAAAAGTACTTCATCAGAGTGCTAGGAATTTTTCCAGAAGTTATTCATAAATTTATTTTTATAACTCAAAATAAAGTGGGTGAACAGGAGCTATTGCTGCTCCTTAAATTGCATGATCATTATGATGCATTATAAATATATATAAAAAAAAACTTACTTAAGAACAGGGGAAACAAAGACTTAAGTCTGTAACTTCAGTCACTCTGAAGTGATGCTCTGACAGGTGTCTCTGCTTTGCCTAAACTCGACTTTTCTTGACATGCAGGTTAAAATTTCACAAACCATTTCCTTATAAACGCATTTGATTCCCTCCCCCCCCTCCCCCCGCTGCCAAAAGTGAGGGTGACTGAAATCCATGTTTTTCCTGTGTTAAAGTACTTGTCATACTGTCCATGAAGACTTGTTTTATAAAAAAGTGCCAGGCCAGGATGCAATAGTGAGAGTAATTTTTCCTTTTAGTTCTTTGAGCATCCTTGCCAAGCATGCATGCATCATTCCTGATGTGTTCCTGCCATTGACAGCAAGGAGGATGTCGCCGCATCTGAAAAACCAAATGTATAGATGAGAGAACCATTAAATAAGGTGACATCTTGTCATAAATGCTTTAAATGCTTACAAATGTTAAAACATGTCCTCAAGTCAGAGGGGAGGGGGATAAATTTTTTTTTTTTTTTCCCCTAAGCTAAGGATGGAGGGAAGCTTGTCTCACAGCTGCTACTTTGTAGCCCCCCCCGCCCCCACCAACTTACAATACATATCTTTTTACTTATGCCTGCGCTCCTCGCTATGGATCTGAAACAGACATCTAGTCTGCTATGAAGGCAAATATGTTGAACTTCAGGAAAATTAACCTATTTTCAGATCTGTCAAGAGTTCAATTCTGTAATCTATTGAGCTCACCAGAAATTTTTAACACACTAATATGCAGTATACTTGTCTTTCTTATCAGCAAGTCCTTTCTTTTCTCTGCACTGTGTTCATGTAAATGTGTTTAAAAAAACAAAACTAGATTAAAAAATAGCATTTAAGTAATTCTTTCATTAGAGAGTTGTCATTACCTAATTCTTCCATCATTATATGCTGGTGTTCCCCCAACAATGGATTTGATGAAGAATGGTTTGTTCCCAGTATGTTCTTCATAACCTCCTACAATGCTGAAGCCAAGACTTCCTGCTGTATTTCTTCGTAATATGATTTCTTTGCAGCTGTACAAATACCTGAAACAAACCAGTCTATTTAGTGTCTTATGATTAAGTTTAGATTCTGATGAACCATTAATGATTCATCTGCCTTTTCATACACTAGTAGAGTGTTCTGAAAACATAAAACAGCATCAAAGTTCCATTGTATTCAACACAATGGAATATATATATTCCTATACTTTCCTTCTCCTTCTGTAGTACTGTATTCCACAACCAGTTAACCTAGAAGTACAAATTACTACCTAACCTTGACTTTAAAAGGTGAAATAACTGGTTTCTAGGACAATAAGTAAGTAAGTAATGCAAATACTTCAGCTGTAATTGAAAATGATAGCAAAAAATACTCTAAATGAGACTGGATTTAATATTTGTAAACCATAGCTCTAGAAAGTGCAGTTCACCTAGCAGTTCACAAGTCCAGTGGTTTGTTTTAGCTTCCAGATAATCACATACAGGCTCTTAACTGTTTCATAAGTAGTCAGGCATTTAGGACATACATTACAAAGACAGCTATGAACTGTGGTGCGTGTCAAAACTAAAAAATTTCAAGGCCAGTAAAACAAGCCAGAATTACAGAAAGTGCAGAGATCTCTCACACACACAAGAATACCAGTGGAAGAAGGCATTTTCAGCTTTTCTTCTGGGGCAAGCTGTAGCGTGGAAAACTAGAGCAGCATATTATACATTTGAGTTTTGGAAGGGCAATAGTATGGAGTACTGACACTTGTTAAGGCGATAGCCTGTCCTCACTATAACTATTAGTGCAGTATTTAATGGCAAGTGATCTGAAATCTGCCTCTCCCTCCTTCTGCCTTCTTATTTATCATACTGTAAGTTATGCTAATTTAATGTTTAGTTGAAACAAGGAATAGGGGACAAGGGAGAGCAGGATGGTGACTGGACTCTTACAGTGTGTTTACATATTGCTTATGTCGGAGTACATTAATGTGAAAACTTTTTTTTTTTTTTTAAACCAAGCAGACAAACTAAATTAATTTCATTAGATACACAGCAACAGAAATGTCTGGCTTTAATACTTTACCCATTCTTCGTTATCAGTTTGCCCAAGAACGACTGAGGAGTTTGAAAATCCTTTTGCTATTCCAAATCTGAAATATTCGGCTGGGCTACAGCAAGTAACTGTTACAAATTCTATTCAGAGCCTCTTCAGGTTTCTAACCAAAGAACTGCTGACCCTTCTTGTACAGAAGGGCAACTAACAATTTTATCTTAATAACAAATGTATCTCGTTTTTAAAATTTTAGTTGTCAAATAATACTTCTGCTGTGTTTCACAGCAGGATTTTATTGTAGTGCTAGATTAGTCCCCCAGGGTCTACAAACATTTACCTGCTGCCAGGATGGTAGGTATATAATATTTGCCCAAGAATTCACTGGCTGCTAATGTAAGAAACAGGTGACATTTGGTTCTTTCATCAGTAGCCAGGCATTATTACTTTACCATCTGTGGGCTTTTTAAATGTGCACAATCACTTAAAACCTTTATGTTCGATGGTACTCATCAAGGTCATGACCAAGCAACGCCAGGATTCAATCAGTAGTAGTACTATAACCTAGTGTTGATTTTGGGAGGCAGGGGTCTACTCATTGTCTTCAGGAAGATATTGCTGAAATCGAAAGGTGGTTGTTAGGCTAAATCCTAATTTCCTAAAAAGCAAATAGTCTATCAGGTAAAGACAGAGGAGAAAAACACAGTGAAAGCAAACGAGATATGCATACATTCTGTAAGATTATCAGTTACCTAGTCTCCATCAGACTGTAAAGCATAAACTCATACCTGCTATCAAAGCATATGCTAGATTCAAGTAAAATACACATGACCCACTGACAGTGGGACTACTTTATGGTGTACTTCATGTTAGCAAGCAAAAAAATATTTTCCCTTAATGTGGTAGTTGTTGAGTTTCAGTTATCCATTGCCCTTGCGTTGCACCTTGAATCGGAAGAAACCAATGCTGCAATGTTACAGAACATGTAACTTCGGTTTCCTTTGGGATGAATGGAGTGTTGTCTACCTCCCCCCAGTATTTTGATTAACTTTGGAATTTAATTGCCAGCGTAACGTCACTGTTTCTCTGATCATCTTGTGATGTTCCTACCTTGTAGGTTTGCCGGGAGCTACTAGTTAGAGCCAGACTGGGAAATTATTCCTTCTCCTCTGAAATCAAACCCAAAAGCACCTTATGGGTGTAGCTGTCATCAACACGGCTCTTTGGTTTTGGAGCTGGTTAGGATATTGGTTGATAAAGGTATTCATTGACTCTCTCAATTTCAGACTGAACACATAGTAGTGGCTGGACCCTGTTTGGAGAGTGTGTCCCTCTTCATCTTTCCTGATGGACAGGACCAAGCACATTGGATTCTTTTTATCCCAAAGGACCCATAAGGGGCCATATCATATCTTGAAACTTCAGGTTAGTTTTTTTAGTGTCGGTGCTCTGTGTATAGTACCCAGCTAACTCAAGAGCATCATATGATTCTTTTACCACTTGTGTCACTAGCTGCATTGACAGTCAGGTGCTACTATATGAAAGCCTTTTTTCTGCGCAAGAAAATCACTGTTACATCAGCATAACTGTTACTGAGGACATGCTGTAAAGCACAATCCTACAATTATTAAAAAAAAGTTGATTTCAGTGACCTCATTTACAGCACAGCTCAGAGAGCTCTACTGGCAAAAATCTGGTGGTAGTAGATGCTAACAGCTGAGCATGGGGCCTCAACACAGCTGGGCTGCCAGAGGCAGCACTCATGTAGCTCACACCCTCAGGTACCCAAGACTAGGCTTGCACTCAGGAGCAGTCATGAGTTAACCTTAACTGGCATAATTATACAGTGCAGTTGCTGTTGCCCAGCTATTTGTGTAATTATGTGGCAAGATGTATCAGGGACTTAAAAAATACCACAGGAAAAGGAAATGGTCATTTTTTCAGCCAGATCAGTTTTTTCAATGGCTGCATGTAGCTATCACCTCCTTGCCTCATCCCAGTGCTTACAGTGGCACTATTACTAAACAAATGCCCACAGAACAACAGTTGTCTGAGCTGCTTAGCAATTCAGAGGCCACTGCAGTGTTTTTCATGGCCCAGAGACAAACCTGGAGGTCGACTCCTGACAAGAGTATGAGTGCATACATTGTATTCACGCCCTTGAATTGATGTTTCAATACCTCCATCCTATGGGATGAAGGGTAAAAAAATGGCCATGTACTGTACACTGGCTATTCATTAATGCTTTCAGAAATGTGGAAAGGCTGCTAGGAGTCAGTTGTGTGCAATGCAGATCTTGTTTGCTCTGGCTTGTTCAGCGCATAAGGAAAGACGCCTGCTATGCCCAAGCAAAGAGCAGCAGAAAGGGAGTTATTTTGTTTGGTCTGTTTACAGCTATGCAGTAATAAAGACAAGCTAAAAAAGCACCACGGAGAGAAAATGAAAGAGTGCTGTACTTGCGTCATCCAAAGATACTTAGCATGTTTGGGTAGATTAGTTTTCTGTTGTAACCCGAGAAGCCCTGATCTGTGCATCTTGACCCAGTTAAACAGCCATAACCCACTAAACTGCAACAGGTCCAGAGAGAACCATCTCCTATACTGGAACAAAGCAATCTACAATTTACTGCTTCTATGTGTATAGCAGAGTCAGAAAGCTGAGGACAAGGAGTAATTTATGTGTGAACTTGCCTCAGATTCAGGACCTGAGGATAAATAGTGTCCAGATACAGGATCCTATCATTAGAAATACTATATCTCAGCATAATTTACTGATGCACGAGGAATTTAAAAGTAGCTTGACTGCGTCACCTTTATTTTTAGGGCCATATTTTCAAGTAACTGAGTATACAATTCCCTGCCTCTAAAGTGTACTGTTCCTAAAGTGTAATTAATCTTATATTTCAGGAATCAAAATCATTTTGACTTCAGAAGGACTTCAGCAATAGCAGGTATGAAAAACAGGAACATTTTATCCCTGCTACAGTAGATAACTGTACAGTATCTGCACAACTGGCAGTGGAGTGGGCGAATATTGGAGAATTGCTCCCATCAAAGCCCTACAGCCTGGATGGAGTTAATTGGGGAAGTTTCTGCCCTAATTCTGTGTTTTAGATTCATTTCTGGCCCAGGTTTGCGGAATGACTTTGGGCAATGTCCGTCTTTCTCACCTCACTTTTGCAGATGAGCAAAAGCACTCACGTGAAGTACTAAGGTTTGTAAAACGTTATGACAGGATGATCCATAAAGTAATTGTAAGTGCTGGCTGGGGGGAGGAAGGGGGAGGAGAAAAAAGAAAGGAGAGCAGGAAAACAAGCGAGACAAGAAGAAACATCACTGTGTGAGGGCAATGATTCTTGCCAGCTGCTATGCATTATTTTCTTTGTACGTGTTTGAGACATTTCCCTCAAACAATAAATGAGACCTGTCTTCCTCAACAACAAACAATCAGACCAGCTCCTCTGAAGTCAGTTGCCGGGCTGGGATGCTGGAGTCCCTGCATCACTCTTTTTTTTCCCCCTGCTCACATGCAGGCCAAGTTTTGACAGATGTCAAATGCACATGTGCCTCTATTTTACAACCACCACACGCTGGACTGTACAACAGAAAGACCAGAGGAGTTGTTTGTATGTTATCAGGCCATATAAAAACGGCCAAGGCCAATTTTAGGATCTCGCAAGAAAAGGGCAGAAATTTAGATGAGACCTGCCAACCTTACATTACACGAGACAGCTTTTCCAAGGCTTTGAGCTTTGGTGCAAGGACTCAGATAACCTCTCTCTCTAATTCTGCTACTGACTTGTTCCAGAAAAATGGATAATTCCCTCTCAGTATTTGTGTCTCTTGTCTGTGCCCATCTCTGTAACATGCATGCAACCCTTGGGAGAGGGCCAGATTCTGCACTAATATAGAGTATTACACATTTACCATACACCAGCCTAAAAAATAAGGGATGTTACAGTTAATCATGTAGTTATTATTAACATTTACTAACATTAGCCTGTTTTCTACTTCATCAGCTGTGGGCTGAGATTTGTAGACTCCTGTCGACGTCCTTTAGGGCTTAGCTTATCTCAGGGAGTGCATTTTTATAGTACAATCCTTCACAGGAGTTTCAGCAGCACTCAGGTTTTTTAAACACCAAAGGAAAGATTGCCCTCTCCCCTTAGTTCGCTAATCAACTGAGTGTCTTGCACAGTCAGGCTTCCCCTGAGCTCCCTTCCTTGCTTAGTTTAAATAAATCATCTCACTGCATTGCTATTGCTTTGTAAAGCCACATCTTTCCCTTATTAGCAGTATTAAAAGAATTCACCATCTAGCCTCTTCTTTTTCAGTCATGCTTGTTCCTGGTCTAGTAGTTTTACAGGCTTTTCTATTCGTTTAGTACTTTTTTTTAAGGTAGATGTGACCCATCCTGCCCATCTTCCCCATGATCCTGTGTAGTCCTGACTTTGACATTTCTAGTTTTCTATCAGCTGTGCCAAAGGTTCTTAGATTCTCCCACCTTGGAGCAGTCCCTCCTGTAAGTGGTACAGCTTTACTACTAGCATCACAATTTCAATTAAGGTAGCTGAATCTTCACCATCTTGCCCCATCATTGCACATCAGGCACCTTTACCAAGATGGACCTGTCAGAAGCATGTTTGGACAGTTATCATTTCCTGGGACAGCCTGCAAAATGTCTCAAGACTTCTGAAAATACCTTGATGTCTACTGGGATGTGATCCTTGCTGAAAGCAAACTGGAAGCCGGCTAAGGAAAGGCTAAATGCTCAGACTGGAGGGAAACAAGTTAACACAGTACGCATTCTGGTGAGGGTTGAAGGGCTTCCAGATGTCTGGTGTGGGCACCAGAGAAGTAGCGCAAGAGTAAGAAGGTAACAGCATTCACACTGGGTAAGACTGAAGGGCATGATAGCACCTAACGCGCAAGCCCAGATCTGATCCTTGCGTCCGTAGTCAACAAACTAGCTACTACTAAGGATGAAGTACGCCTTTGTTACTGTCAATTCTAATCAGTTTTCAACCCTGTCTTAATCTGATTTTAAAGCCAGCGTACCAGTTCAGCATACTAATCCTTGTATTTTTATTTTACAGAAAAGGGCTGCACTGTGTACGCAGTTGCAGCTGGGGATAGAATTACAATGAACTTCCTGTTTTCGGACTTGCTGACATTGGGGCTAATTTTCCTTCAGACTCAAGGGGTGGGAATTGCTGCACACATGCAGCCTTTGCAGGGGGACTACAGTGAGCTTAGATACTGCTTTTAAAAGGGTAAAATTCTCTTTCCTCCCAAATGTCAAAGCAGCACTGACTGTCCGATGTGAGCACTGGGTGCAGGTCTGAAGGTCTGTGGAGCTCGGTCCTTCATCTGCATTACCTAACATGGACACAGGGACTTAAGCGGCTGTTGGTAGATGATGACCAGAAAGCACAGGTTTTCAGTGCAGCAAGGCACAAATGTTTGAGCCCATCTAGCAACGGCTGGTGACTGAAGGCAAGATTCAGCATTGCAGATGCAGCATCCACAAGACCTAGAGGCCACTTGCAAATTCTGCTGGGAGTACAGCCTGAACTCCAGTGTCTTCATGTCGTTGTGGAGGTTGAGCTCAGGGGTGCAGAAGAAGAGGGCAGGAGTGAGGACCTCTCTAGGCCTGCCTGTCTGCAGTGAGACTGCGGGAGAAAAGTTTAGCGTTGCCTGAACCAGCAAGTTATAGGCTGGTTATCAGTTACCTCCTTTCACCAGAAATAAGTACCTCGTTCTCTCTGCTGGAGGAGGAACCTTTCCTCTGCGATGGCAGACATACAGCCTTCCTCCCACTCTGTCCACGCTCTAGCACGTGCTATGCAGTCGTTAGGCCTGAGAATAAGCTCCAAAACACATCAGCACAAGGTGTGGACGTGCTGCTTGGCCAGCACAGCAGGCCTTGCTGCAAGGTTTGGAAGGAGCTTGAAATGACCCAAGCCAGCAGGAGGGAAAGTCAACCTGCTACCTGAGCACAGGCAGCGAGGACAAGTCCCAGAATTGTGTCTGTGACAAAAGCTTGCTCGTTCCATAGATCTTTTCATGCCCTCTCTTAAAAGGGAAAAAGAGGTATTCTGAACAGATACCAGCTTTAGGAATATGGGTAAAACTAATAGGCAATAGGCTAAATTCTTCATTCCTTGAAGCTGGGGGAAGAGGAGAGGGGGTTTCCCCTCAGTTAAGACTACGAATTTCAGCTGTGTGATGCTAGTTTTGCATATTCACAGATTCACAACATACCCTCATTAAGTATTTCACCTTGGGCAAAACGTCTCTAAAACTGCAGACATACACTGGGTACACCAAGCACATTTGAGAGAATGTAACTACATGCAATGTGGCTTTTATTATTTTTACTAAAATGACAACACAGCTGCTTCCTGTATATGACAAATATGCTTTTTTTCAGTCAGGGGTGGGGTTAAAAGAGGTGATTCAGAGATACTGGCCAACTGCATGCACTTTGTAACATCTGGGCAAAGCCAAACAACTCAGCTGCGTTTAGCTAATGCAAAGGACTGTGCAGCTTGCGAGCCGCAGAAGGGGTAACGCTGCCTTCTGCAGGGTGGTCGATCTGAGGCCCCAGATCGATGAGCTCCTGTATCCCTACAAGCTTCTTCTTTCACTCCCCTAAGTGCCAGATATATTTTCAAGAACAGAATGGTTCAGGACTCTCTCCTCCCTTGGAAGCAGATCTACGTGTCTGTTTTTCCATGTACACATACCCAGTTACAAAAGGGAGGTATTTAGAATAAAGTCTGTGATAGAGCCTGGATTTAATTAAGATGTCAGTGCAATGAATAAAGCCAAAAGAAAGAATTGCCAAAAAATATAAATCTTTCCTCCCACTCCCCTTCAGCAAAAGGATGTAGTTTTTGGACGTACCGCGGCAGTCCCAGCCACATAACCCAGGAGGGCGACCACTCGCTGCTCTCAGAGATGCTGTGCATGGACTTGGGGAGTGGCACCTTGCTCCTCTCCTCCTGGGGTTCGCATGCCTTCATCTCCAGGGCTTTGAGCACCACCGACGAGCTAGTGTTTTTCAGCAGGGCAACAGCCTCACTCCGGCTGACTCCTGTCAGGTCGATCCCGTTCACGTTCACCAGGCTGTCACCTTTTTTTTTTGGAAAAGAAAAACCCTGAAAATGCTTCTAAGACCTCCTTCCCCCTTAAAAAACAAGTGAGTCAAAACCGCTGTGTGAACACTTGAAACCTCAGGCAACGACTTCCTCCTAGAGTCTTGTGCTAATCGCAACTCCTCTGCCTCAGCGTCTCTAGATAGCACAGGCAGCTTCATGGGCACTCAATGCTAATTTAGGCTTTTGAAGCGCACTTCTAACTAATGCCTTTTGTATTTAACCTGAATTTGAAACCCAAAATCTGAAAGCTAGAAGGCGGCTTTCTCCCAGCACTCCCTAAGCTGAGGACTGCCACTCCAGCTGGCTTGCCATAAAGTTTGCTTTATAGAATAACATATTATTATTTTAATGTTAATGCCTGTTTAAATGGCCTCAAGCCAAAATGCCTTTCTGTATGCCTTATTTATAATATATGCACAGCAGCTTTAGAGAAAAATGCAAAGATGACCTCAATTACTCCAGGGAGAACAATAAAGACATTATTAACGCCATGCTATTGCTCGAAGACGCAATCGGCCGCCGTGCAAAGTGTTGCGCTACCTCTGCAGCACGCTCCAAAGCCAGCTTTCCCTAGGTGCTCCCACTGTGCTCTGGCCACAAGCTCCTCAAGGCACGGGCTCTATTACTGGCAGTCCAGGCAGCGCTAAGTGAACATTAGCCTTTTGTTGTGGTCTGCCTTGATGAGGCAGACAGCAGTCTAAGGGCTGCTCTAAACTGAGCTGGCTTGTAGCTCTGTTATAACATCACATTTTCATTTGTTTCTAATTTTATCAAATTAACTAGGCTGAATTTTCCCTGCTGGGTGCCTGCCTCACGATTAACATTTTTTGGAGAATTTATCCCACTGAGAGAGCCAGTCACTTCTCAGCAGGAGGAAAGGGGAAACCTGCTGGGTTGCTGCTGTTGTCATGTTCCTACATGACTTCGGATGAGAAGCCTTAGCTTCTGCAAGGGGGAGATTCCTGTGAGCGCTGGCACTGAGCGAGCCGCGGCCCAGGCTGCAGGGGCTCAGCAGGACTGCAGCTCCTCGACCCCGCGTTCGCCTGCCCCAGTGCTACAAAGAGCTGGGTGATCGCTTCTCCTTGTGCTTGGGATTTCCCTCCAGCTTCTGGGCAGCGCCTGGGCTGATGCTGAGCATAGGGAGCTGACGGCAGGGCGATGCGGAGCCGCGCGCTCGCCGGGCGCAGGGGGCAGAGGCGCTCAGCTCTTGGAGACGCGACGTCCCCAGAGCGCGGTTTCACCGATCCCTTACTGTTCACCAACTCCTGCAAAACCCACTGATAAAATATGCTCATCTTACTCTAATGGCTTATTCTTGTGGAGGAGAAGAAACTCTTAATGCTACCATTTACCCTGTTAGCTCAAGAGCCAAACAGAGGTATGAATCCAATGGTTCTGGATGTGATATTGAGCCATATTAACATTGCTTCACATATGATGGCAATTCTACTGCTTTATTTTTGATCTCTATAGAAGTCAGGAACGATACGCACAGCACAAAAAATTGCATCAAGAAACATTAAGGTTGCACGGTGAAGCTCTCAGTAGCTAGGAGATGATGGTGCAAACTCATTTTCCTGTGCAAAATTAATGTGGTTCCTACTTTAATATGCCTACATCACATTTCACAGTGACAGTTACTACTGTTTATTATAGCTTTTCTGGTAGCTGACGTGAGACCGTCTAATCTGACAAGTCCCAACAGCAATCTGTGGGACAGCTGAAGGCGGCAGGGTTTGACGCTCTTTCACCATCCCATCAGAGGAAGCCTTTGAATTAAAGCAGGCCTTCAAAACCCATTATTTTTACCTGTTTTTATCCTGCTATCTCTGCTGATAACTCCTCCAGGTTCGACACTTATCACATAGATAGGCAAATCCCACTCCCGGTTAGTGGCCCCCCCTGCCACAGTCATTCCCAGGGATTCGGTGTGATCTTTCCAGACAGCCACAACCTTCTCGTGGCAGGTGACGGCGTACAGGGCGCTCTGTGGTGGGGAAACGGCAAGAACAAAAGCAGTGTACATGCAGACCTCCCTCACAGCTTAGGCATTTTCTGCTGAAATGAATATTTATCAGTAAATACTGAGGGAAGAGCAAAGCACTTTACAACCGCCTGCCACTCCTGACCAGACGGCAGGCGTGATTCTCTCCAGGTCTTTGGCCTTCGTGGAGCCAGAGCTATAACTAAGATAATCCATACTTCAATAGTTAAAGTCAGGTACTGCTCCCACCAAAGTCAGAAGTGTTTTACCACTAGGACTAATGGAAGGAAGAGTAGGCATCTGAAATGTACATAAGGAATTTGATTTTCAAAAAAAAAGAAATAAAAATTAATTTTCTTCTTGATACTAAGTTCACCAGCAGTCCTTATATTTTGGGATATCAGGTCACAGTTCTTACCTTGCTGCTTCCAGTCTGAATATCATCTACGTAGTTAGGAGAAACAGTACACCTGGGTTAAAGGAATAAAGCCCTTGGGGACAGATTAGAAGACAGACTTCACTCACTGTTCCCAGTTTCTATGTTTCTATAGAAGGTACTGGCTGGAACACAATAGACGAATACGTATTTCAGTTCAGAAAATGAGAGGGACTTTTACAGAGTGAAGAGCCAGCAGCTTCTGAGAGGCTCTTCCTATTGCTTGGGCTTAAAAGGTCACTGCTTCGGGGCAGCCACCTCTTCTCTCTGGGGACAGTCATTCGCTTCCTTATTCTTCTGCCCAAACAGGAAGAGTTTCCTACACACAACAGGTCACACGCATAACGAGCGTATCAGTGAGGGTGAAACAAACTCACAGGCGGCCTCAGGCACGAAAAGCAGCACAAGCTCTAGCACAGCCTGTGAACCGACTGTCACCTGAACAAGCGCTTATCATCCAGCGCTTATGGACAGGCTCAAGAGACAAGGACTCTTCTCCAGAAGATCTGGATTTAAACGTTAACTGCTTTGACTTCCTTAAGTATTTCATAAGCTGTGTTCCTGGCACCGATTCCTACAGATCCCAGTGCCTCTTGCAGAAGCAACACCATCCTTTCCAGGCTTTTTATGTAGATATAATAGACATGCTGCTAAATACATTTCAAATGTAAAAAAAAAAAAAATCTCATTCACAAGTGTGACCTCACATTTATAATATGCAAAAATAATCTATAAATCTCATTTATAGCCACTTTAATCTCTTCCAGGAAATCTGAGATCCCACAAAGACATTCCACCTCGATTCCTGGGCCAACAGCCCTGAGAGCAGAGCAGTCGGGCCCATGGCTGCTGTGGCAATGACTACGGTGGAAGAAGGAAGACAGCAGCCAAGAGGTTTTTATGGGAGTAGGCAGGAAAAAAGAACCACCTCAGTGGGAATTCTGTAGCGTGGGGACAAACACATGTATGTACGTATGCCTATACATACTACTGGAATGGTTTTAGTTTCAGGTTTTGTTGTTGGTTTTTGTTTTGTTTTACATGGCAGGGCAGGTTATCTTTTTGTTTTGTGCTTTTCAAAGGTGTGTTTGGTGAAGCTAATTCTGTGTCAGGATTTCTGTGATGCAGCAACAATAACTAAAAGCAGAACCTTTTGGCAGCTTAGCAAAGGATTTCAGGTGCTTGAACAGAACAACAGTGGGTGCCATCGAGCTTCGGGAACAAAAAAGCAGAGAATGCCCAGAAAAGGGTCCTTAGTCATTGGGACAAAGCCCAACTGCGGTACAGTTGTCTAGATATATCATCTCTGACCTGGGCACCCACACACACGCTGTGTCAGGGTAATTGGGTTTATGACTTGCAACTGAATCTAAAAATGTCCAAAGGCTACAACATTCCCTTTTGAAAAATAGAGATGTTCTATTCCAGATCTTTTTTATCCTTCAAAAGATCACCTTTATCTTTGAAGTGTAAATGTTTTACACATAGTTGTTCCATTCTTGTGCAAACTAAACTTCATTTTGTTTAATGTTTCATCCATTTTTGTACAAAAATGTTGTCCCTTTTCCCTTGAAAAGGAACAGCTTCCTCTCAGGAGAAGGCCACTTCCCAAAGGATGCAGGGTAGGAGCACTACTAATTTTCATAAAAGTGCAGTTTGAGATTTTGTTACAAAATATGAAAATAGAATTAGGTTGGCAAGCAACGCCGTATGTCCGTTATACCTCAGACACCAAAAATGTTCCTGCCAAACCAGTTAACGCTCTGTTCTTGAAGAATCAGTGCAGAAAGAAGTGCTTGGGAACAATTTATCATGTTTAATTTCAATGAAAATTCATAAAAGTGCTGATACTCGTATGCTCAAACACATAGGATCAGTTTTCCTTTGAAGCTACTCTTCCACATGTCATTTTTTATATGATTGCAGATAGAAAGGAATTAGGGCGACTCAGCTGAGAGGAAGACAGTGATGAAAGGAAAGTAAAACCTTTTTTAGTAAACACACGGAGGGCTTTCTTGGAGGTACTACTGATAATGAGTAAACCAGTTAAAAGGCAATGTTTATCAGTAACTGCATTTCAGTGCATTTTCTTCTAAACAATTGTCCTTCTCCGTCATTTTGACTTGACCTTAGAGGTCAGGAGTAGGAAAACATAGCAGTTCATCCCCTCCTCTTTTTAATTTTTTTGGTAAGTTTACTGTATAATAAATATTTACAGCAGATTATCACAGCCTCAAAGCCATGACGCGTGTCTTGCAGGCAAAGGAGACAGCTGTGCCTGGCTGGAAAACGTAGTTCAGCTGAAGACTAACCTATGAATACCATCACTGAACATAGTCTGCCCAGGTAACAGTGTGACAGGCTTGTTTTGTTTAACTACAAGACAATTTCTTAGAAAGAATAGGAGTTAGAAAACAGTTACGATTAAAAATAAGCACTATTTAATGGCAAAGCTCCCACCGACTTCAAAGAAGTTGAATCCAGCATATTTATGCGTTACAGCTCTGCTTAACAGCCTCTGCTGCACAAGAAGGTGTTCCTGACATCGTCTCTTTTCTGAATCCAGGCAGCAGCCGCAGCAATTTGGGCTTAACATCCCCTATCTTTGTACACAGGAGAACAGCTTAATGAGACCCTGCACAGGCCCGCTCTTGCGGCACGCCATGCACCCTGTGTCCACCACCACCAGAGAAGGATGTGGTTGTTGCAAACTGTCCTCCTGTTTCTTTAGCGTGCTGTCGGCTGGATGGCTGTTTGCCATTGGCGTTGGCCTGAAAGCAAGCCGCTTTCTTGCTCTTTCCAGATGGAGGCAGGCTGTCATGAGGGCAATGACTTGGCCAAATGGGATTCCTGAGCCATTATTCGATCAAGACGACTTCTGGAAGCTCAAGTTTATTCTTGGCACTGAACACAGCCGAGACTTGGGAGCAAATTCCAGCCCGTATTTACATACATGTCCTACAAGGGAGCTGGTTCTCTCAAAGAGATCATTCTTGACTTGTTAATAGCACTTCCTAGGCTAAGCTCAGGGGGAAAAAAAAACCTTAAATTAATAAGGATTCAAGTTAGTCAGCAATCTCTCTACCAACTGCATGTAATAGTGCAATCCCACTGATGGCAGCAAGCGGCAGATTCAAACCGCGCACCCATAGGCGACTTCCTTGACAGCAAAGTGCGGCCAATGAACACTACGTTGTTTTTGAGCAGGAGCATGCATGGTATTAGGACACCGGGCAGACCTAAGGCTTGCAGGCATTATTCCTGCACCAGTGCTTGTTGAAAAATAAATACAATTTTAAGTCCGCCAAAGCTTGGAGTTTAAAGATCTTGAATTGCAAATGATATTCAGTTAAACCTTAAGCAAAAAAAGCAAGAGAAATTCAAACTGACACATGCATACCCTATGAAAGGGCAAATAGCACTCCAGTAGTGATTGTATCAGACCAAAAGCCTACAGTGCCTGAAGCTAATCATGTCCACTGGCTATACTGATCTACTGATCTATTGCCAGAGCATTTTGTCTGAAATGGGCCCTCCACTGCACACATACAAAGCTAAAGGGGGCTGGTAACAGCTCACAGATTTCTTCTCTGGCTGTGATCTTCCCTGGAAAGTTCCCAAATAGCAGTGCTGGGCAGAAGCCCACAGCAGCATACCCACTGACGCACGTGTGTAGCTTGCCTCCCTTGTAGCAAACCAGAAACCCCCCTAAGAGCCATGGCCGATCCAACAAAAGATGATCCATTAGCCTTGAAAGGACTGTTGCAGTGTCAACATTGCCTCTTCAGTCTGACAGCTCCCCTAAATTATCTTGCATCTACCAAAAATTCCTATTCAATCCCTCCTGGTAGAGGAAGAGAAATTGGCACAGCATATGGAAAACAAGTCATGTTCCCAAATAATCCCATGTGGTACCGATCGGTCAGACCAACATGCTAGAGCTAGCAGGCGCTCAGGGTATCACTAGAAATCATCCAGTAGTGACCTGAGCTAATTGCTGTCCTCCATGAATGCCGTCCTTCCTTAGGGAGCTAAGGAAATCATTACTGCATTAGGGAGTAATGCCTTGCAGATGCATCATTAGATGGGCAATATTTGCTACTGGCTAGCAGCTACGGAGCATCAGCTCTGCTGCTGGGGATAACCCTGTTCATCCAGCCTCACCTTAGCAAGGGCTGTGACTGTGACTTCATGCAAAAGGAAAAGTAAAAAACAGATGAATAGAGATTGCCATGTTTGCCTACACATAAAAACACTGAATAAAGGGAGTGGAAAAAAAAAGGAAAGGGGAAAACAGCTAAGAGTGGGTATTTATAAACATTTGTAAAAGGCCGAGCGAGGCTCATCTCCTGGCTGGCAGCTCTGCGCCCAATCTGGCAGCTGGCAGTGCAGTCCCGAGGTCCCCTTAAGGACACAGCTGGCTGCCCATGCAGCGGGGCGGACTGAATCGAGCCCTGCCTGTCCGCCTTCCCGACTCCCTCCCCGCTCCGCGCCGGCGGCAAGCTGGCCCTGCCCCAGCTCTCCTGTCGGGAACTCCAGCACGCTCTCTGCAGCCCGGATGATGGATCCCAGCAAAAACAACAACTGCCCGCTGCTGCCTCCTCCTCCTCTGCTGCCGCAGCCACAGCTGCACCTCTGCCCTTCGTAGAGCCAGCTCACGGCGGTTTGCACAAGTGGTGACTCTCAGAGAGATTAATGTAAATTAACCAGCCACCTGACTTTTAGTTTAGTGAAATACACAAATTCAACTCTTACAAGGGTATTTTTGCATACAGTCAAAATAAGTAGAGGCTAATGTGATTACCTTGCATTAAAGGTAATCCCAAGCCACTTTCTTTCATCAAGAACCTCTCCACACAACGGTTCAGTCTGGTTAAGTGGCAGTAATCCTATTTAAAATTATGCCTTTTGTTAACTCAGATTCCCTTTTCTGAATGTGGGCAAATCTTTCAAACACCAAGGTTGTGCTGTCTTGCCATCAGCGAGGGAGGATGCACGAACTGTCTGATCCAGGCTGCTGTTTTCTACGGAAGAACTGTACCCTTTTTTTCTTCCTCCTTTTCCTCAGTTGAGCAACAATACCTGGATCTCAAAGCGCTTCACACGGGATGGCACTCTCACTGTTCCCGTGTAAAGAGGCAAGACCGCATCCCCTGGGGTCACGCAGCAGCGGCACAATCAAACACAATTGGCCAAAACCTCTATGAGGGTCACCGCTCACCTCTGCAGGAGGCTAGTTGTTACCATACAATAAAAAAAAAAAAAGTGCATGTCCTCTCCTGTGTATATTGCAAAGAATCATGCTGTGTAAGCCCAGGAAAAGGTATTACAATGCTCTTGCTGCATTATTTTCTTCTTTAAAGCACTCATATATTTGACCAGGAGAGTGTCTATGTCTTGTGCCCCCCCCCTTTATCCTTCCTGCATTTCTCGTCTTTACTGTGGTGTACAGTTGGGTTAGTTGTGCTTGCAGGAGCTGATTGCATTGGTTATTATAGAGAGAGAGAGCACTGCAAGGCATTAGAGAGTAGATACACAACGTAACCAGCTACAGAGGAGTGGCTGGAAGGAAAGTTCAGTAACCAGAGCAGAAGAACCGCGGTGCAGGCAGTATCTGGGGGAGATGGTGGATCTGCGCTGAGAGGTCCGGGTCGGGCTCGGCACAGCCACGGGGAAGCACCGGGGCCGCCTGCGGCCTGTGGACCTTGAGTCAGTGCTTGAATTGGCTCAGAACTTGGTTGTCTTGAGAAATGAGCAACAGACTAATGATTGCCGTAATTTTCAAGCAGCTTACGGGAATTTCTCTGACCAGTCCATGAAAGCTTTTTGCCTACAGACTGTGCTGCAGATGGAGAAACTTCAGATAAGCCTCTTATTTTCATTAGACTGCACTGCGCTGTGCTGGCTGTGACCGCCAGCCAGGTTTATGTATGGTACACTGTGTATATGTAAGACTGCTGCTCCACTATTACCCTTCAGCTCCCTCCTTCCCTTCCCACCCCAGACTGAGTTAAGACAGAAGCACTTCCCAGCATATAAATAACAAGGAGCACAGTCTTTACATTTACGCTGCAGAATAAGATGTGCTTCTCCTGGTGAGAGAAGCCAGAGATCACACCTCGCGACGTCAAAACATGAGCCATCCCCAGCCCGGCTTTCCCACGGAGGAAGAGTAAACAGCCACGAGCGTGAGCCCTCACCTTGCTGGGGCTGTTTCTCGGGGGGTGGCGGGGGCCTGCCGCTGTAGCTCCAGCCCGTCTCCTGCACGATGTCGGGGGGCTGCTGTCGGCTCTGCCGGGACACGAGGAAGTGAACCTGCTTCTCGCTGGCCTGCAGGAGGAGACACAGGGTAAATCCTGCAGCTCTGCTGCAATAACCCCCTTGTTTTCAGCCAAGGAGAATTCACAAGACGCAGGTGCTGACATGGTTGCAGTGATATAAAGCTATAGCAGCAGCTCAGGTCAATAAAGGCTATGCTGGAAAAGTGAATGGAAGACATCTAAAAAAATGTAGTGCCAGCCACTTAAAAACTTCTCTGGAAAATTTGGTGTTAGCTCTCTGAAAAATTCTTATTAACCCCAAAGTTTGCTTGAAGCAGTAATCCCATCACGGTGAGTACGGATCAGTTCTTGTATACACCTGCGTACAACAGCCGTGGGCAGTAACGTGCCAGATGCAGGAGGCAGACAGACGGTAGCGCTACTGCTTCTGGATGGGAACTCCAAAATAGGGGCAGTGAATTGCTTAGCAGATGATGTGCTGGTGCTTCAGCTGGTCCAAGGGGGGAACAAATAAAGCAATGGAGTCCACCCATATGCAGCAAATAGGACAAATATAAGGTAGCTTAAGGAAAGAAATGTGAAACCATTTTGAGAGATAAAATCCTATTGCGCCAAAGCAGAGAGAAAGAGGGCGAGAACGCAGGAGCAGACACACAGAGTAACGGAGTTTCGACTGGAAAGCTAGCCAAATTTCTCACTCTAGGAACAGGTACTGCAAAACCAATCAGCCTCCAGAAAAATCCTAATACCTCTGGGACCTTTTGCAAAACATCCTCATAAAGCTTAAGTGTCTGAGAGATGCTGTAAAGCTTCTGCTGAGTTATGCTCGCACGTTGTTTTTAAGGCGTTGTGCGTGTGTGTGTCTGATGTTAGTGTTACTAATTCTGCGTGCAAGTGCAAATTTTCTGCATTACTGAATCAGCATGACTGCGATCAGCCGTCGCCCTAGAAGCAGATGGCTTAATTCTGCCCTCAGTCAGGCTCGCGTAAATCTGTTCAAGACAACAGCAGTGCACAGCTATAACCGAGAATGGATATGAGTAAATTTCAATGAGTACATCAGAGATGCCTGCTATACAGACAGAACAATAGACCAAGCTAAATGGAAATGCAGAATAGCCTCAAGGCTGTAGGAACATACTCAGAAAATAAAGAATTAATCCTCCCTAATGTCCTCCTCTCCAGGCTCAAGACCTGGCGTTCTGGCCTCTAGAGAGAAACCTGCCCGTTTGGCTCAGTCTCTGACGCAGAGCCCCCGCGAGCGAGCGTCAGCGCCCGCACCCCAGGGGCATCGGCGCCTCCAAACGTGCCCTCCTTCCTGGGAAGATGCTCCAGGGAAAGCCGGTACCGACCAAGCAGGTGGAAACCAAACCCAGATTCAATTGCACTGGTGCAATCAAATCTCCCACAGACAGTTAACAGAAACCAGAGAAGGCTCCTGGGATTTTCATTTTTACAGTTCAGTTTGTCTTTTCTAGAGCCTGATTTAATGTGCCTAGCTGAGAGATTAAAAAAAAAAAAAAGTTTTCAAAAAATGTCAGTCTAATAATTTAAAAACCCGTCCCCTCCTCCCCCCTCAAACCTTCAGCTTCAAGCCTGATATCTGTATGTTCAGAAAGGTGCTATGTCCAAGGAAGGTGACATCTCAGTAAAAAATGTGCACTTCCTTGTTACCTTCTCAATATTTTTGGGTATGTTACGTTTTTTCACCAGCAACTAAAATCTCTACAGCTTCATAATATATGCATCTGGTACACACATAGCTATTTTAAAATAACTTTCTAGGTATTTTTACCATGTTTACTGTAATGGAATATTAATTCCTGGACTCTAAACCCTTCTGGTACCCAAAAGTAGAATGCTGGATCTTGGGAAAAAAGTAACCACTCTAATTCCTAGTTTATAAAGTTTGTTAAAATGTAACAGAACAATACAAGACTAAACCTCCTAGGGGCATATGACCCCAAGAAAACACAGCTTTCTCTAAAACAAACAACGTCAGCTTACGCAACTTCTGTTTAAAACTCATGTGCTGCCACATGGTTAGTCTCAAAATTGGTCATTTACAAGAAGGTTGTAAATGTGATTAATTCTTTGTAAAACGACTAGCAAAAGTTCAGCAAGAGTGTCTATGGTAATATCACATTTGTCTCCAGGTCAGTCAAGTTGAGTAATTTCTCAGAAGTCCAAAGAATTTTAAAAGTTATCCAAACAACAAGACTAGCTTTTGTATTTACCTGCTTCCATTTAAACAACCATTAACATTTCTACTGCTCGGAGTATTAATTGCTGTTTCAGTCTGACCTCTCCCTCCCCCTCGCCCCTTTTATTACTAGCTTTGCCCCACAACTCGTTCTCTGCTGTTTATGATGAAGCAAGAATTAAAGAAACGAGGGTAGTTTCAGGGCCGAATACAAAAGTAGCTGAAACAATCTACTTGAATGAAAATTTGCATCACGGCCAGAGCAAACCAAACGCAAAGCGAGGAACGCTCTGCAGAGCTTCCGCTCGAAGGTCTCCGACGCCTGCTCTCGTGCCCGATTCAGGTCTCACTTTGCCAGGGACACAGCGGGGGACGGCTGCTGTCCCGGCGCTCTGCCCACGGCAGCTCCCGCACCCCGTTCTCGGCTCGGCGGCTCTGAACGGTGGCAGGGAAGACACAGGCAGGAGGATGAACATCTGGGGGCAGTAAAGCCTTAAGCTGGCTCTCCCCGCGCGGCTACACTTGATGCATTCACACAAGCATCCACTTTTTGATTACCTTGCTTGTTTTCTTGTCACCCCTATGCAAAACAGATGTGGACTGTCACGTTATTTAGATTACAAGTGCCACATCCAACACAAGGCCATGACTAAAGATGACGCGACAAATGGGAAGCAGCAAACACCCAAGAGTTACGATTCCTGAACGTTCCTAATTAGCACTTTGGAGTTTTCCTCATTTCAGCTCTTGTGACTGAGCTTATAAACAGCCAGACACCCAATCTACTGATTAACAACTGCTCCACATATGCTAATGTATAATTGCTGAAGGTCTGAAAAATTAGCTACTTCTCAATTATTCATTATTCAGAAGTCAAAACTAATCAGATTCCACAGCAATCTGATGTTCTTTCAGCTGTGCTCGGCATAATGAATGAGGAAGACAAACCTACAGGACAAGATAATAAAAATCACAGCCTCCTCCCACCTTTAATGACATTAAAATGAATGTTAGTTCTGTTTTGTTTTTTTTTTTTAAATTGATCCCATATTTGAAGCATCCTGTGCTGTTAATTTGTAGATTTTTATACACCATGAGTAACACACATTTAGGTCTCAACAGGCGGGGTACTGTTGAGAAATCAGAGGACGAAGTAAAACATGCCGTGTAAAAAGCAAATACAAAACATTTGTGGCTTCAGTATAATGATTTTTCTCTGGTAGAACATGCAAACAGGAAAGGCAAATGATAATTGATGAAAAAACATGACAAAAAAGACATAGGGTCCGGGAATTTTGTGTTAGGCAAATGTGATTCATAGAGCTCACATCAATGCAACGTAATCCCGGCTGTTCGGAAACCTGACTCTGTCCTTTGATGGGCATGTTGTTTAAATCCCCAGAGGCTGGTGTGCATTTCAAGCATTATTATAAATAACAACCACTCTTTGGAACCCAGTAAGAGCTTCAGTTGCACTTTTAAGCACTTGTGTGAGAATGGCCTCATCAGTCATTTTTTCCATTTCATCTCTAGGCCGCATGTGTTTTTTGCTTATGAAGCAGTGTTGCCTTGTTTTGCAGCCTTAAAGAAGTGTTCCAAGAACACCAATTTTTTAGAAAGGGTTTCACTCCAGACTTTGCTCTGCTCAGAGAATTTACCCCCTCCCCTTCCACTGCCAGTCAGCGAGCTACATAAAGTATACAACCCGGAAAGATGCTGCACCAGAACTTCAGCAACTGGCATCACCCAACTGGAGACAGCGCTGCTCCCCAGGCAGAAGGCGCTCCACTCTCCTTCGTCTGGGTGTGGAGCTCCCACTCGCGGGATGAAGAGGAGTTAATGAACTGATCCTTAGCTATGCTATAAACTTTTCAATAAATGTTGGTTACAGCCATCTGTGGATCTACGCTAAAAGAGGAATCCTTTCCAAAAAAGGCATTCGTTCAAATGCTTCTTTAAGCCTAACTCATGTTATCCTCATTATATCTGTCCAAAATGGGGAGAATCCAGTCTGATTTTTCATCTTAGTATTGAAGCACACAAAATTCCTCAATATGTGAGCGCTATGCATTCCACCAAACAAAATGCAAAAACTGTACAAGGATTGCTGTAAATATGAGATAAAGCAACAAAACATGCTTTGCTTTGCTTTTTATGTTGAGGTTATCTAAAAAGGAAACTACTAAGATAGGTTGTAAAGAAAGAAACCAACTGGAAATAGTTCTGCAGGGGAACTTGGAAGGAAAATGACACACACATACACGGAGATTTGCACTGATCTTATATCCTATAACAAAGCCCCCTGAGTGAGCTGACTGCAGCAGGCATCACTGCAAGACAGTTCACGCCTGTATTAAGTGAAACCAGGGAGATTTTAGAGGTGTAAACGCCCAGCCAATTTTGGTTGGTGTGTCCCTTTCCCTCCCCCAAATATGCTCCCATTCGGGATGGCCCTTGCTTTGCTAGAGTCATTGCAACGGACGGTGAAAATACACTGCCTGGGTTTTGCAGTCTAGTTAAACAAGTTCGGAAGCTGGGGTTAAATTCATCGTGACAAACCTGTATCAGCTGGGCTGCACTTTCTGGACTGCCGTAGCGATGATCGTGCCCATTGATAGCTAAAACGCGGTCGTTCTCCTGAAGCTGTCCATCACGGGCAGCCACTCCTCCTTCCAGCAAGTTGAAAATAAATACCCCAGGTTCGTCTGCCTTGCGGACCAGTTTTATTCCCAGCTGCTCATCTGGACTGCTTTTGTTCAGAACAACGTGGAAACTGTCATCCCTGCTGCAGCGAGCATCGAAGGAGAGGCTGCTGTTTCGGCAGCGGTACCTCTGCTCTCTGAGCACGGTGAGCCGGAGCACTTGGCACGGCTGCTTCAGGACTGACAGGGCATAGTTGTGAGGCACATTTTTGATGTCCATGCCGTTCACCTGGAAGAGAGAGCCGTAAATCAACAGCATAAAGACCATCTAATCTACACTGGCACAGGAGGCAGCTGATCTGTTTACACAGATGTCCTCGCACGAAGTGACGTGTGCGGTTTCAAACTGTGTCACACAGGAGGCCAAGTTTGTATTACCTAACAGCCATCCCCCCAAGGAAAGGACACAGCGTGCAGACACTTACAGCCTTTTTTACCCTTTCTCCCTGATGGTCTCCAGACATAACTGTTATTCTTCAGCTTTATTATTGCTCTTCCCCAAGCTCCAATATTCTTTCATACATCTTGGTTTTATTCCACTAGCTTCTGATTTCAAATCATCTTGCCAGCCTTTCCTTTCACTCCCACCACTTTCTTGTTTTCCTACTTCCTTATCTCCCAGCTGCTTTAGTTACAGTAAGGGAAAAAAAAAATTTGTATGCCACTAATGAACCTCTAATTAAAACAGAGAGGCAGAGAAGAGAGCCTCAAGTAGGAAGTTCAAATGTCCTGGGTATTTATCTAGCTACTATGTTGATATACCTCACCAGAAAATGAGGCTTTTTATGTTTCTCAGTGTTTCTCAGGTAAGATCTGCATAAGAAGACATAAATCAGCAAAACTGACACTTCTTCAATTTGACTGCCAAAAAAAAAAAAAAGAAAAAGAAAAAAATAACTTCCAGTCAATCCTGCCATGCCTGCATGAGCAAGGCTGACTAGGCATTGTGCTTTATCACTGCTAAATGAAAACCAGTTGTAAGGTTGTAATTCGTTGCTGGAAAACCTGAATCAGACAACTTATTTCCATGTAGTTTTACGTTACACAGGTTGAACCATTTAAATATTAAGAAATGTCTCCAAACTGCAACAAAAATGTTCCCCAGCACAGACGAGAGTGTTCCACTTGGGTTTTCTTAGAAACCGCCTGGGTGGTCACTACGGGGCTGTCCGCACCGCCGCCTGACGGTGGGACTGCACTTCTGGAGACACAGCTGAACTAACTTATAGCTAGCCAACTTGGGTACTGCGAACAGCATAAGCTGCAACAGCATGGGACTGCAATCGCCAGGGATCCTCGGCCGGCGGGGGGGAGCCAAGCCAGGCCCATCCCACTGCAGTCACGGCTCTCCACTCCAGTTTGGATGTGCCCTAAATGAGCAGTTTCCACTCAGCGGTGCTGTAACTCTGCCTCCCTGAGCTGGCAACAAGACAAAAAACCTCCCTGAAACATATGGCCTGGGTAACACTTACCCAGCTGTTACCTGGAACTGCAGTTTAGAGGTGCACTTAAACAGGGTAAGTGAAGTAGGCGCACGTCTCATTTACAGCTCTCGTAGGCTTAGCCCAGCTAATGCCACTCTGGTTAGCTTGGGTACCACTCCAGGGCATCCACAGCGCGCTGACACAGCTGCACGAGCCCACCATGAACAGAGCAGGCTGTCCAAATGTGCACCCTTAATTTGCAAAACCTATGGTGAGCACTGTCTGGCCACACTGCCACCAGTATTTGAGCTAGCTGGTCTAGCTGCTTTAGGTATACCTGAGTGTGCTGCAGTGTACCTTTGGCTTGTGATGTAACCATACCTGTGCACTCAAGCTACACATCATCAAACCATCACAGCACAGAAGGAAAGGACCTACTACTTTCTGTTATCACTTTTCTCAGGACTAAAGCGTTGGTATAACTTATAGCATCTTTGCAGAGCTCCAAGTTGATGGGGCAGCTAAGAATGCAGCAGTCATTCAGAAGCTATTGCTAAAGCCACACAAGAAACATGATTTTTAAGCATCTGGCCTAATTCTTGTTCATCCGTTATACATTTCTACAGAAACAGGAGCAGAAGTAGCAGCTGACAGCTAATGCCTCAATGCTGTTCAAGTTTATTCTTAGAGATTTCACCTGCGGCTGCTGACGGAGCAAAGCTCACAAAAAACAGAGCGGACAGTGTCACGCAGTTCGTGCTGAACATCTCACATGTGGGAGCTGGATGCAGAAAGAACTTAACCTCGATGAGGCCCCTAACACCTATCCTGGTGTAAGTGGGTTTAAGGCAATGGAAAGTGTGCTAAGTGAGATTGTAGCCCACAGCACACTAGAAACAAATAGGACAAAAAGCCCAGCCCCTGCTTTCAGAAGAATTTTTGCAGTGGCTTTTTGAAGATTGACCCTTTCCCCTATTTCTTCTATTCAAGTTTATATTGGCACTTCTCGTTCCTCTACGAGTAGAGTCTTCACTTTTCTTGACTTACTGCTATGAAGACCCCAGAGGAGTTTGTGGACCATTTCCAGCCAGGCGATCCTGTCTCAGAGCCGTTTTGTACAAGCAACAGAGCAATGCTCCACCTGGTGATTCCACAAAAACCAGTTCAAGGTTCAAAGCGCTACTGGCATTACTAGAAACACCAACAGTATACTGCACTGCATCACATTTTGGATCTACCATGTTTGGCTACGATTCATGGAGGCCTAATACTGAATAGGAAAAATAAACAAATCAATGAGCCTCAAAAACAGCTGAAGGAAACCCTGAGAGCATGCAGAGAAACTGAACCTCTTTCTGCATGTATTATTTCATCCAAACAAACAAGTAGCACCGCAAATCTCATCTGTATGATCTACTTGCACTGCCTTATTCCCCGTTAGGATAGCTCTTTTTATCTTTTATCTCCACAGTACTGTACCTTTAGTATCATGTCTCCAGGCAACAATCTTCCATCTCTGGCGATTACCCCATCTCGATAAACATGCTGAATAATTATGTGACCCAAAGGAGTCTCACTGCCTCCCACGATCCTAATGGCCAGGTTTTCACTGGGATCAGTACGGTTGATCTTAATGCAGGTAATTTCACCATCTGGAATCAGGTGATACAATCTGGGAAAACCTGGAAATGCACATTATAAGGTATTTATTTGAAATCACAGCTTTGCATTATTAAAACATGCACCACATAACTTCAAGTATCTGGCCAGTTATCCAAACTAGGTTTTATGCATGGATGTGATTTATATTGAGTAGGGAGGAAAGGAACACGTGGACTTGCTTAGTGGACTTGAAGGGCTTTCTTTTTTAATTAATATATTCAAACTTCCTTTTTTTCCCCCCACAAAACACAGCCTCAGACCTTTGATGTAACCCAGACAAATGGAATGTATTTAAGGAAAAAAATCTAGTTACCTGCGCTAATTGTTTAAGGGAACAAGATACATTTTTAGGGACCAGAGATCACTGAGGAGGACCAGGCCACAGTTCTTTACTGGCCTTAGAGCAGATGGGCACCATCTGAGACACCTCCAAGAAACCTCTGCAGTCTGGCAGTCCCTGCTGTGATGGGCTGCACAGACTTTCTCATGGGCAACTTCTCTGGTTGGAATGAGCAGTTACTACGCTATTCTCCTCGAGCTTTGGTGCCGTAGCAGAAGGTGGACACTCGGCTTGTGACATCCAAGGAAGCATCTCTACCTTCAGCTAATAAAAAGGCAAAATCTCTTGGACTACCCAAAGAATACAGTAGTTTCCCTACCAGACCCCTGTCCTTTCATCACTGCTTGAACTCCATGAAGTAGGAATAACTGGCTTTTACTCCTAGGTGCCTATATTACAATCACAGTACATTCAAGGTGTCTGGAGGGAGAGGGAAGTTTACAGAAAATCTGCATTAAACAAACTCTCTTCCACACTTCAAATAGGCATATATGCACACGCAAAATTACTGCTGCTAACAAATCAACTGTATGAGATCTAATACAGGCTTATTCCACATCCTGATTGAGAAAATCAAGTTTAAGTGAACATGCATCTGCTACCATTGATATAGGAGGTGACATTTTCCCATTATTGTCCATAGCCTGGAGAAATGTAACTGCAGATCTCTAGCCTTGAATAAATACAACTAGACTTCACTGTGGCAGGATGGTATTTTCTCCCCTCTGTAAAAAATAACAGGTCATTATTCTTTAGTACGGATTTCAATTCAGCCACAGGACGTAAGTGTGTGCCAAAATGTAAGTGTTTGAACAATCTCACTGCAGCCATCGGTCTAGTCCCGTGCTTAAACCAAACACTTTAAAACTTTGCTGAACTAGACTCCTCGTGTACAGAGAATGAGCAGCTCGATTTTTAGTAATAGTCAATTTATTTAGAGGAAGAATGGCATCTTCCCCGAATGCTGGTATGTATTTTTCAAGTGTTTTATGAACTGCTCGGTAGAATAAAATTGCTCTGACTGCTGGGCTGTCAAGGGAAGATCTGCTGGCCCTGCCAGTATGGGCATGGGGAAGAGGCAGTACTGGTGCATGGGGGTCCTTTTATTTATTTATAATACACTAGAGAAGAGCATTCCTTTCCAAACCCTACTTTTCAATTGACATGTTTGTTTTCACAGCATGTCACTACTATTTTCTTTCCTTCCAGGGCAATTCATGTCCAAATTCAAAGCCCAAGCCAAAGTACCAGTGAGTTATCTAGTACAGGTATATCTGCCTTTAATTATCTTGAATCCCCATATCTGAGAGAAAACTTTCGAATTTTTGATACCCGAGTCCAAGGCAAAGTCTATACGAAAAAACTGTAAGTAGAAAATAAAGCACTAACATTTTTTCAATAACTTATTTTAGAAATAAAAGTACAGTGATTACTACTGAAGAGCAGTAAAATGTTAAACGGAAATTAATTAATAGAGCAGTATCTAAGATAGCATAATGTTTTCTATTACACAAATACCAATTATCAACCCCTCAGGAAGTTTGAGAGAGAGAAAGGGGGATAGAAAGAAAGAACAAAAATTAAAAAACACCACGTTGTATCCCTTACCACTTCTTTGATCTTATGCTCTTCAGGGCAGGAAGCTGTCTTCCTTTGTGTCTGTAAAAAGCACCTACCAGTATAGCACGGACTTGGACTTTGTTGCTTTACACAGAATTGATAGGCAATAAAAATCTATCCAGATAATTATACAGCCTTCATTAGCCTAATATCCAAGGGTTTGTTTAATTTATACTCCTAGAGTAGCTGTTTCTGCTCCTATACCAGTTTACATCAGTTTTGCATACTACGTCAATGTCACAGGAGTAGGAGGTGCACTACTTTCCCCACACACCTCTACTCTGAACGCTATTTGCCCAGTTTCTAACTCATTTGACTCCTTCTAGCCTGAAGCAGGGATTCACACCATCTGAACACAGGCTTCTAACCCAAACATCTAATTTGGCGATCTAGTTGCTCTAGCTTCCTTTATAGCCCATGGGCACCTGAAGAGAGTGATACAGCCCAGTTCACTGCTAAATCACCCTTGGAGGTGCTAACCTCCCTCCACTGCACCCTAAAGTCTCCACTCCTCTATATAAAAAGTATGAGCCAATCAACTCGGATATCTCAGTTAGGCTCTTAAGGTCAGACGATACAGATACTCTTCAAAAATCACCCTAGGCCAGATCCTCACATCAGAATAAGTATACCCACTTTACACTCTCAGCATGGAGGCAAAGGAATATATATGTGCAAAAATGCAAATCATAATCTGCATCCCCCCAGCTTTCTTCTCTGCATAGAAATGACATAAATAAACATCTCAGTAGATTTTGCAAACTACCAAGCGCTCTAATAGCAGAACTGCTCAAATTTTCCATTGCATAATGATTCGCTTTGTGTCCTAACAAACTGTGCTACTTGACTCAAACGCTCATTCTCCCATATCTCCTTCCTCAAACTTTTTCTGAAGGAAAAGCTCCCAGTCACATTTCTTGACAATGGAAACCTGTGGCCTGAGCAAGCTACTGACACTCTCATGTTTTTTCAGTCTGTAATTATCCCAGAGCAAGATTAGAGCAATGCAGTAGTGAACAAGTCCCCACAGTTACATAAGGTTCTTTGCTTCTCGAACCTTAACTGGTTCATTAAGTCTTGCAGTGGCACCTGGCTTGCTTTCAACATGACTTCACGCAGATTCTTTAGAGGAAGTTTTAATACCTGATTTGCTTCTCAAGGGTGCAGCTGGCAACAAAAACAAATTTTCCCAAGGCACTGCTTTTTCTTGCCAGTGCGCAAATCACTAGGTTTCTCTTTTTATATTTAGCAAAATGTACTGCCTCACCTTCTGTCTTCCCTTGATTTCCTTGTGCTCTTTACAAAATATACTTGGCAAATTGCACCATTTTCTCCATACACGCGCCAAACAACCGAAATAACTGATGATCTCTTAATTTCTATCATCTTCATTAAAATTTTGCCTCTTAATAGATCATGTTTTCATATGATGTATTATATCATATTTTCATATGATGTTTGTATCATCAACAACCTACACTGTAGTAAGCTAAAAGACAAATACCTATTTTGATAAACAATAAGTTTGACTAAACATATAAAGATACACAAATACGTTCTTTTTAAATAGGATCATTTCTTCACTAGAGAGTCCACACACATTGTGCATAGTTTGATCAAAACCTACCTTGCCTATTTTCGGGTGATGACAGGTATGGAAAACAGCGTCCTCACCTCGCAGTTTTCTAATATGAATACTATACCCTGAAGAGGTGGGCCCTGCTCCAGCAACCAGTCACACACAGTGAACGTCTCTGCCTCAGCAGGCCCCACTAAATTTAAGGTGCTCTAAACGGGCTCAAGCCTCAGTCTGCATATGCGCCATTTTCCAGCCCTTACATTCTTAATAAGTATTCTCCATTCTCTTTGACCAGGTTTTCCGGAGCAGGAAAACCCTGGAGTATCGCATACCTTTCTTTACCATCTTATCTCTCCAGTCCTTAAATATCGAAGAGCTGCTGAATCTAGAAAGAAGCAAACTTTCTGTCTTGTTTTTGATGATTCTTGCAGATTTTCCCACACAGTGTTGTGTTTTTGCCATCGGGAGTGGTATGGTGCATTCTGAATCTGTCAATAATAATAAAATGTCATCTGCATTCAGATATATTGTGTGTGCTTTTTCCTCAAGCAATATTTTCCTTATATTAGTGTGCAATTTTATTGATATTTTTACAGGCCCACTTACAGTAACAAATAACATAGGAGAGGACAGATTTACATGTTAAGCTCTGCTTGTCTGGTACGATGTAGGGTACGGAGCACTCATTACACATTAGCCACAAGACTACAATATGATATGTTAAGTATGCTTAATATTTTATCCCCACGGGTTATGTTACTTAACGGTAACGTTCCTTCAAGCGCTCAGGTTTCAACTAACCTGTGTGTGCACTGTGTGCTTACTGACAGTGCTGCCATTAGAATAATTTCTGCCTTCATTCCCAGGATCTGGTGTGACAAAGCTCTGCATAATGTTTGCTGGGATGCCTGAGTCCAACTTGATCAAAGGTCACTGTAAACAGAATTTGTGTCCCAGATTGCAAGTCGTTATTCAGCCCAGGAGTCCTGACTTATGTGAGTTGCCAGCTGAAGTCAATGAAACTTAGCATGACTAAAGACCACCCCTATAAATCAAGCTTTCTACAGGGGACCCACTCATGCTTTCTGGCACCTGGTTTCCAGAATTTAAACAAAGCTCGTGTAACCCATTCTTGGAAAATACATGTGTCAGTGACTGTCATATACCCTCGTGCCGATGTGGGACTTGGCTTTGCACATCTTCCCTTGCAATTAATTTTCCTTTAGCATTTTACTCTCCCAGTGCTTTGCCATCACTCTGCAAACAGCAGTGTTTGATTTAATTCTTTCCTTTGATTCTTCAGGGACGTTGGTCCGATTCAGAAGGACAGCAGAAGGTGATGCCAGCTCTAATGTCTTTCCTTGCTTCTGGACTTTCTTCTACTAAAGGAGTCTCAAAAGAACTAAAATGAATTTGCTGTAGTATCAAATGCATCTCAAAAGAATTGTGGTGTTTCATCCACACCAGTTTATCAGCTTATCTTTCTGCAGTGGAGGAAACGCTACAGAGGCAATCTCTTTTTTTCTAGAAATCTTTTGCCTTGCTCATCATCCTAGATCAGAGTGTTTTGAACCAGTTCTGTAAGACTTCCACCATCTGTTTTGGGAAATCTGAACTGCAATTGAATCAGAACTTGGGAAGACAGGAACCAGGTGTGATGCCTGCAGGGTGCAGCCTTCCTGGAGTGAGAGCTGGGCTGCTGCTGTCTTGTCTTCAGCCTGTATACACCACTTTTTCTTCTGCACATCAGGAGTCTTATAGCTATATAGTGCTTGAAAAAGACGCTGATATTTCCCTAAAGCCATCTGCACTTCACTTACCTTCTTTTCTTCATATACCTTTCCTCAACATTGAAGTATTTATTGTATACACATATATATAGGAATATATGTGTGTGTGCGCGTGCATATAACACAATAGGAAACAGACTGAACAGTAAGAATGCGATACACCCACACAACAGGTGAGTTTGTTGTATGTTCCTGTCAGGGCTGCCTTGCTCTTGACTGCTGCAAAGCAATAACAGATGGTAGCACTGCAACAACCAGGATACTAAGAAGAATGAATTTGACTTTGAACAACATTTGACGTCCTCAAGCAATCATAAATTCAATTTATTTTACAATGGCTTAACTGCAAAAAGGAACTGATGAACGCTTTTGAAAACCAGCAGTATGGCTCCCTTTTACTGTAAAGCTGTATAAAGGCTTTTGCAATTGCTTCCCCAAATTCTTTCCTCCTCAAGTGCTAGACAGTTTACAATTTGTATATGCAGATCAGGCTGAGTGAGGAGTACGCGTGTAGTCTTTCTCGGAAGTGAATTTCAAGAGTGTGATGCCAAACTGAGAGCAAAGCGATACACACAAGCACAGGAGCAGTCTTTGCTCAGAGTTATCTTATCATTTAAGTAGATTGTTAAGGTCATAAGTGCATCCACGCTGGAAGGATGTCCCTGTCACCTTTCCTCACTTCTGAGAATGAAACTCTTTCTTTTAAATTGCCCTAACTTCCACTTCAGTTTTGGAACGCTATTTCTTATTTTAAGTGCTGTTACTGCATCCAGTAAGTATCATTAACTTGGATGCCACAGTACAGACAAATACCTTTTTGCCTGTGTTCTTTACAAAAAAACAGATAAATAAAAATGAGAAAACATGAACACCTCCTTCCCCCCAACATTTTCTTATCACTGTTCACGCACTGATTCACATTTCATTCACTTTTAACATTTTCTTCAGTTTTGACAATGAAACAGTTTTCTGTTGGAAATATCACCCAAACTTTTGAGCAGAAAACCAAGACAGCACAGACCATTTATATCGAAAATGGGTGCATCTGACACTGTTTAAACAAATTAAGCCACAGGTTGCAAATGGAAAAGGAGAAGTAATCGTCACAGTAAAGGACTGCTACCAGGTACAAGACAGTATAACACTGTAACTATTCCTCTGCTGCAGTTATAGTAGAGACACATTTGCCACTGGATACTATATTTTGCAACGTCCCTGGGTGGCAAAGTGGGTTATCGTCAAGAACGGACCACGTCAACCTGCTCTCCGCTGTGCGGAGGGCCCATCCCTGGGCCACCGGCTTTCCTCTGCTCGTGCGCTGGTGCAAGTCCGGCGGGCAGAGGAGCCCCTGGGGACGTGCGTGGTGGCACGCTCTCCTCTGGAGCAGCGAAACACAGCTGAGGGTGTTTCCCCATGCTAAGCCGTTCTCAAAGCTGGAGGAAACACTGGCATAAAATTTTGTTTTGACGGAGCATCAAAGGACATATGTCTGGAAACAAACTGTGGCTAATCTGACAACTACAGAAAGACTTTCGTATATTACTGCACTGAACATCTGCACTGCTGCTGCCCTTGATGAAAACACATGATACCAGACAGACACCTAGTGAAAACAGCCAGAGTAAAAGTAGTCCCTGTCACAGTCAAGTCATCCCAATATTTGATGAACTGATGTGACCCAAAAGAGAAAGGTGGTCCCTGAAACTAAAGAGGAGGGCACCAGAAAGGACGCTCTCTCTCACCACTTAGGTGAGAGCTCCATAAAAAAAGTAAGAGATCAGGAAAAATAAGGATCAGAAAAATGAAGACATATAAGGTGAGCAGACGGCAGCGATCCTTAAAGTGTGACCAGCACGCTACCTAGGAGTCCCAGTGCAGACTGCTCTGAACAACTCAGGATTTTAAAAACAAACACAATAAGAAAAACAGAACTGGAGAAGGAAATAAACATCCAGCTGGCAGGTCATAGTAGCTGCTACAGAAAGTGTATTCATTTCCTCCTCCAACAAGAAGAAAAAGAAAGAGCCTTTGGGATGCCATCACACAAAGCACCTGTTGCAAAAGACTGAGTAGGGAGTCTTGTTAAAGCTGTGTTTGCACTGCTGCAAGCTACTTGCTTGCATTTTTTTGAAGACCAAATTCCAGACCAGTGTAATCAAAGCGCATTCTCTGCACATGTAATTAATACAATAATTTCGGTACACAGCTTCTGTGATCTCATATATAAGGGTAACTGCTTGTTAACTAATCACATGCCTACCTGGTTTTTCCAGTGCAGTAAATATATTTGGAAGTTTAAAGGCATGCTTGATGTAGAAGAATGAAACCACAAGCAGAATCAAGTACAGAATGACAAACTTGGCAGAGAGATTGCCACTTCAGGGCCTAATTATATGTCCTTTAAAAAGGAGACAATAGCGCTTTCCATTCTGCTAGAAATATATTATTCTGATATCAGCATTTCCATAGCTGATCAGATTTTAAAACTGATGCAACAGGAAAACCTTCCTTTAATGCAAGGATCATCATCTTCCTATCTCCTTCTGTTACTGTCTGGACTACACTGCAGGTTACTGGGTAGGTATCACTGGCATCCAAACCATCCTCACAGCATTCTGGGTGTGGAACCAAACTTTCAGTGAACTATTAGTAATGTCAGCTATAAGCTTAGGCAGAAAGCAGTCATAAAAATTTCCATGCCCAAGCCTGAAAGATGACTTTTGAAAAATATGGACTTGACACATTCAGAATTTCACTGTAGCTGAAGAAGCGCAAGCTTCTGCTTATGATGGATTGAACAGCTGCTAGGAAATGAGAAACATACCCATCTACTCAAAGAGGGCTACAGCCATCTTATTTGCAATGTTTTTTTGGGGAAGAAAAAAAAAATTAAAACATTTGGGGCAGTGAAATTCTTGATAATGTTTCCAGGCCAAGGAGCAGAACTGTCTTATTTTTATGGAAAAGGTTGAGAATTTGGAATTATCTGATTTCATTTTGGCTACATCAGTAAGTACCTGGACTAGGAGAGTAAGTATCAAGAGTACAGTGACCTAGTGGGAATCTTCTGAAGGAGTATTTATCTGCAGATAAGGCAGAAGAGATTTTGAACATTGTTCCCTGATTCACCACATTAAGTTTAATCACTGAACATAGTGAATTTGGCAGTATTTTATGCTTATTTTGTGTGGGTTTCAATAACAGCATGAAATATAGAGCAAAGGGAACTTGAATCTTTTGTCTTCTTAAAGCATTCGTCCTGGACGTCTGATCTGGGAAGAGAAGCGAGGTGCTGAGGCACCACGCAAAGGAATAATCAGCTCAATTAAGATGTTGATTAAAGATGATTCCTCCTCTATCACCACTTCCTCTTGATGCATGAATGCTAATGTTGGCGTAGTAATTACAGTCTAAAGCAATTAGTAACATTTGCTTAGTGCTTTGAGAATGCCAAATGTTAAGTGTTATTGCCTGCCAGACCCCTCACCCTTGACACACAGCAGACAAACTTGCCTCTTCTCCCTGTTTAAGAGCAGATTGCTTTACCTCAGCACTTGCCTGGCTGAGTTAATACAAATCTGTTACCAAGGATCCCACAGAAATGCTGGAATAAAGACAGCACTTTACACTTTTATACTGTCTTCCCCCTGGTAATCTCCGGTGCTTCATGAACATCAAGTAAAAACTCATGAAATTCCTCTAATGTATGATCATTGTTATCTGCTTGCTTTAAGGGGAAAACAGACACAGGCTAGTGAAGCATTTTGAGCAAAATGATAGAGCAAATGAATGACAGCTCCAGTAATAGATCCCAGACGCCCAGATCCCACGTTTTAGACCCTGGGTCAGCTGTAGCACGCACGCTGTTACCAGAACACCCCTATGTGAGGTCCCACATGCCCCAGCAATCTTCTTCACCGTGATTCCCCACCCATTTGCTTAAGAGGAGAAAATAATGAAGGTTTTTTTGTTTTGTTTTGTTTTTTTAAATCACACACACTCCACCACATAAAAGGAATGTCAATCATGAACATCCAGTTCCCATACGGACAGGGTCTCCCACCCCATTTTAAGTGATAACAGAAGGAGAACAAAGTATTACCTTCCTCTCCAGCGACAGAATTTCCAACAGTCTCCCTTTCCCGGTCAGCCTGGTTGGAAACTGCGCTCCCACTTTTTGTCCTTCGAAGAACACTGAACGCCTTGTTTATTTTTTTAAAAGATCTGCTTCTTGTAGTGGACCGTTCAAAGTGTCGAGCTGCAACAGAAGGGGAAAAAAAAACAATCAATACAACGCAGCTGTTTGGGGCTGTAAACTCTAAAGCAGCAGACCACTTCCGCAAACATCGGCATATGACAGGACATAGCAGCAACAGCAAGGCTTCTTGCACTTCACCATTGCATTTGACTCCAATTCCAAGGCTGCACCCACCCGAATCTAGTTGCAATTATCCTACCTCTGTCCCATGCCCTGGAATTGTCACCTCCCCTGTCTTTCTGCCAGCCACACAGGCAAATCTCTACCTGTGACCGTGGCAGCCTGTGGACAGAATATTCCACAGACATGGCAGAATCAGCAGCAACTTACTGAAAAACGCATATAAAAGGAAGAAGCACTGCCCCACAAACAAGCTGCGCATTTTTAACAGGAAGAGAAAAGCTGGAAGATTTGTTATAAGCTGTTTGGGGGGAAAAAAAACCCACATTGCCTCAAAATCCTGTAACATTTCCAAAGCATCCAACAACAGCCAAGAGTTTCATGTCTAAAATCAAAGATTATCAAGGTGGGAGGGATCAACCAAGTCACATCTTCTGATTTGGTTAAGGCTGTATCAAAAAATTATAACAGTTTCAAAACATGTCACTGTCCTTTCCATCCTGCTGTAGACATCTTCATGGCTGTTACAGCTCTTTCTCTCTGAGCTCTGCATGCTAGCCAAATATTGTAATCTAGTAATACTATATTCCCTCAAACCAGATTGTGGCCTTAAAACTCCATAAAACTAGCAGGATTTAGTTCCTTTCTGGTGTTCACTTCTTTCCGCCTCCCTTCCTGTCTCTCTGTCTTGCCCCATGCTCACAAAGAGGACAGCATTGCTCATTTTTCTATCTATCATCAGCTCCTTGTCCGTTATCCCAATATGCAGCTGGGGTAACACAAGGTGGGGTATTCGTTTTGGCTGCAGAGTCTTCAGATATAAGTTGTGACCTCACTGTTAACGCTTCCTGGGTCAATCTTTGGCCAGGCTATATTTGCCAAATATGGCACTCGTCAGAGCTCTGTGCGGTGACAAGGGACGAAGAGTCAAGGCAAGATGTCCTCTTGTAACCTGTCCCTGACTGTGGTTATGTCAGCAGGACAAACTCCTCTGAGTTTCATCTGCTTGGGGGCTGGCAAACCATCCCCCGAGCTGCCAAGGCATTACTTCAGGTTTGTTTTCCTGCAAACAATTTGCAACTGCCAAGCACAGTTCCCAGCTGGCTTTTGGGTAGGTGCCCATGGCGTGGCCTGTGGAGGTTGGCCAGGCCACCAGGCTTTGGTGAAGCCATTGCACAGCTGCTCCATCTCCCCAGCACATTATACATGCCAGTCACTCTTCCAGCTGCGCTGACTTGCCTAAATAATCTTTTTTAGGACTTGCAGCTTAACTGTGTGCACTAAGGCCTTCTTCAGCTTGATGCTGCCTCTGCCTGAGCAAATTTTTTTTCATGTCCTATATATACACACACACACATATACACAGTATATATATATATACACACACACACACAGTATATATATACACACAGTATATATATATATATATATATATATATATGTATGTATGTATGTATGTATGTATGTATGTATGTATGTATGTATATATGTATATACACGTTTTGGCAAAACATGTAAAATGAAAGCTTTGGCTCTCTGATTTTTTAAAAAAGTTTCCAACAATATACATTTCACAGGAATGAATTTTGAAAGGGGTTGCTAGGCTCTGAAACAAATCATTGTTAGTCCTTACTTCTGTGCCGGCTGCTGCGATGCGGGTCTCCCGGACTGCTGCCCGCCTGGCTGTCCTCTGAAGTTGGGCTGAAGGCTGGGTTCACCAGCCCCGGCTCGTCTGTCATTAAGGCTATGGCCGCGGCTGCGGAGAGCTCAGGGCCCAGAGCGGCCACGGCTAAACTGGAGCTATGGTCCGGAGAGCAGTCTTGGGAACGTCTCTTCCGCTCCTTGGTAAGGCCATAATGGGATGCTCCTTTACATCTAAGGGAAAGGGAGACATGATAACAAATTGTATGTAAAAGATGTCTACTACTTACAGTATCTGATGCTTAGAAGTCACTAGCAGTACAATCTGTGACTGTGGGGGTGACTGATGAAATATGGACAGACAACAAGGGAGAAAAATGCCAGTCCTGTTGCGTTATGCAGAATCAAAAAGAACGTCCGTCATATTAGCTGAGCTGTCACTGCACTCGAAAAGACTGCTGCTGCTCAAGACAGAAACAGCCACAGTCTTGCCTGTAGCCTCATGTGTATAAATAGTTACTCTGGATACAAAAAGACAGGAATAGCAGGTGGCTAATTAAATGAAAGGCTAGAATCTATAATTTGCCCCTTGTCTTTGGTTAACAAAGAGCAGGGTGCGGCTAAGGAAATAAAAGGCACCGCTCCTTGCTCTGTACCTCGACGCACCTCCTCAGCCACCCAAGCAGCCTGCTGGGAACCCAGCGCTATGTCCTTTGCCCAGTAGGCATAAGGCCTTTCTCTCTCAAACTTAGAGCCCACGCTTAAGTAAGAGACGAACGCAGTCAATGAACAGAGAGCTCCAAGTCAGATTCATACGCCTCAGGGCTGTGGGGAATTGGGTCTGGACTGGGAAGCCCCCACAGTGCCAGCACAGCTCATTTCTTGAGCTGTAGGTGATGGATTGTTTTCATATCCAGCCACACGGATGAATTTTCTGGTTCTGCTATTCCAGCTGAGCTGAACAAACTGAAAGAGAGGAGTTGTCACCTTGATCTAGGAAGAAGCCCAAGAAGCAGCAGAGAGGGTCCCACTGGCCCTGCAAGAAAGTCACTTCAATGAAATTAAAGGCCGCTGCGCCCTTTGTGATTCAGTATTTAGCTGGAGTTATAAAACATCTGAAAAACCAGTGCAGCCCAAGGAAACAGCACCTGTCACTTTCTCCAGCTCCACTTCTGCCCAATGCTCAAGCCATTACAACTTCATTCTCTTTATTAAGAGAAATCTGCCTTTTAATAGTAATCTTAGGAGCTTGGCCTACTTACTATTATCTCTTTCTTCATGACAAAGACTAACTGATGACTTTCATAAAAACGCCCTGTAGGATGAATTCACAGAAATAGCTACACAAACCCCTTGGGAGAGAAAGCTCTTTGTAATATATGGCATGCACAAAAGGCAATGCATAATACATACACCACACAACGCTAGTGAGTTAAGTGTTGGGAAAAAAAGTAATACACTGGACAGAGGCCTTGGAAGAGAAATCATTTATGGAAGCAATTCTTGAGACAGAAAGCTGAGAGGAGGACTGAGTCTCAGAGTATTCTGTGTCAGCTTCAGGGCAAAGATTTAATTTCTCTTCAGGTATTGTCTTTTTATGAGAAAAATTTGAATGAAAAACTTTTTAGCATTAAATTATGATTTTCCATTCCTCATCTGATATTAATTTTGATGACTTCCCTTTTAAAAAGAAAAAAGCCCCCAAATCCGATCACATTGATGCAGCTGTGCAAGAGCTTTGTACACACTTCAAGGTTTGGATGAGAAAGGGTGTGGTAGAAGTTATTTCTGAATCTTTCACAAGCAAAAGGAGATGTCTCAAAAGCAAATATTCTTTTGCGGAACAGAAGGTGGGTCAATTCTTTCAAAGCACCACTGAAAAGGTTTTTGGGACACTTATTCCAAGACAAGCCTGCAACAACGATGGTATCAAATGGAAAGGAGGAGCTCTCCTATCTCCATTGCAGTAGGCAATTCCCTATATCTTTCTAGAAACAAAAATCTCCTCATCCTCTTCGGCTCCTGCGAATGGCACATTCCCCCTCAGCACCCCGTCCCTTAGTGGGATGCTGTAGAGAGCAGAACCACAAAGGCCCCTCTTGCATCCTACACACAGCTCACCAACACAGCATTTTGGGACCCCTTCTCCCCACCATCCTTGACCTCCGTCAGAGAACTTGCAGTGGAGCCACATTTACTAACCAAGTTTGTGAAACTCCACAAGATAGCTAAACATCGTTTAAAAAGCCACAGCAACAAAACAAACACCAGAAAATGGCTTTGTGGTGAATTGTTTGCTCTTCTGAAAAGACAATTTCTGCCTTACAGAGACGTGCAAAGATTCAATAATAAGAGACATTGGTGGGAAGATTATAATTTAAAAACTTGAGTAGGTGTTAATAAAATAATCTTACTTGTTAGTAAAGACCAAGATCAGAGTTATTCCTACTCCATTTTTTTTTAATTTGCCAGTGAAGTTTCAGTAGTTGATATTAGGGAAGCAGTCCTGTGAATGGGTCCTAAAAGGTAGATCCTATTTTTGGTGGGTAGTATGAAGATTGACATGAAGATCAGATGCAGCTCTGCCCATAGATCTCTACCTATAGGGGTTCAGTTGCTGCTTGGTTCCCATCTGTGCTTCTATACTAAAGACTTCACTTCTTATGCAAATCCTGAGTCTCTGCTGCTGGCTTCACTACAGACATCCAGCTAACAAGATCAGTCCAACTGCAATGAACAGCAGACAGTTGCTTTGAATGCAGAGAGAGATGAGAAAGTTTAAGATGTGGCTTATAGGAGAAGACAAGCTATCGTGATATAAATCAAAACGCATATCTTTCTAATTCTGCCAGAAACAGTTAAAAGAGAACCAAAGCTCTTCAAGTACGAGCGCTGAATCTATTTCCTAAATAATTGTGGCAGGCATAAATGAACAAGATGCAAGCCTTCTTTCTTCAGACTAACATAGTGTCCTTGAAGAAGAACAAAAAATACCAAACCGTCAAACTTATAATAAACTCTGCAATAGCATCCCCTCACTTTCATTGTTTTCCTTGTGCTGACACTGCTGTGATAACAGAAAACAGAAAGAGACAACTGTCTAAGTGGAATCATATTTATAGTCTCTCAGCTATGTTTTTCCATATGGTTGGATTTGGCTCCCAGAAAAGAGAAACCCATAAAACAGCTACATGCCAGTACTAATTATCTCTCTCACTGTGATTATTAATCAGCTGCCTGATTTACAGCTGGAAGAGAGGTATGGCAGTCAGAGCAGGATACCTGATTAACACAAGCCAGCCTTAAAGTGAAACCAATGCTGTCCGAAGGCCAAGGTGAACTACAGATTTATACTCTTTCTCAGTTGCTCTGGACAGCAAGCACTTTTCTGTTGCTGTATGATATGGAAACAATTTGAAGGCCAAAAACAAGAGATTAAAAAAGGCATGAAAAATACATGTTGTTGAGTTCTCGCCATTAAAATAGCATCACTAGGTGCGTACAGGAAATTCGGAAGACGGTTTCTTATTCTCGCCCAGCCTCTTTTATCACTGGCTCTCTGCGGCACAGACGTGCTGTGCTAAGGCTTGGCGGTGCGACCGAGCCACAGCGCAGCCAACGGGCAGCCGGGAGCACGGCGGGGCAACTGCCAGGGACCTCTGGCTGCGCTCAAACCTTACCTACAGCTCGAAGCTTTACCTAGAGGAGCTCCCTGCAAGTGCCGAAGGAGACCTTGCTCCCAGTGCTGCGGCAGCGCATCGGGAGGGAACTGGAGCCACGACGCCCCTCACTCGCTCCGTGCCCTGCTGTAAAGCACAGGCCAGAACAACTTCAGCGTCACAGCTCCCTTCTGACCTTAAACCTAGGAAAACCTCCAGGGAACTGCTCTTAGAGGGGGTGAGTGCTGCAGCAGCAGCTGCTGAGACTTCACCCAGGGGCCACAGCTCGGACCAGCTTTAACACAGGCAGCTGCCAGGAAGGGGATGCTGCACGCGACAGAGGCTTTGCAGGCTAGGCTTCACCAGTAGCACGTCCCAGCTGCCGGAGGGAGGAGATCCAAAACCCCATGGCTGCCTTAACTTGGTCCCACAGTTTGTGAAAAACAAGTTTTGCTCCAACTCCAGGCCAACAGAAACATTTCCGTATTGCAAATACGCAATTCCCTATATGGCAGCGTATTGCAAATTTAAACGAAAACAGTGGTTTTACAGCATAGATGCATTTTCCTTGCAGCCTCTCTAACGTGCACATTGTAGCGGGGAGGGCCTGAAAGTGAAGCTGATCTCACGGATTTCCATTACCCAGACTGATGCAGGGGCAAAGCATAAAGGCGAAACATAAACAAAGACAACTGCACTGATTTTTCACTTCACTTCTAGCTAGCCAGATGAGCCACAAAGGCAAAAAAAAAAAAAAAAAAAGAAAGAAAAAATAAAAAAGAAGAAAGGATGTGTTTATAATATGCTTGCTTTTTCTAATATACCTGGCTTTCTGATCTGGGTCACTTCACAGGCTGCCTTTCCTTCTGCCTAGCCCACAGCCGACTCCCCTTGGGAGGAACCTCATCCAGCGAGTGACGGGGAACCCAGCCCCTGCTCCCAAGCCAGCCCTGGCACAAACAAACAGAGCAGAAGCTCTCCCTGCCCAATTTCACCGCACTTTCCTGGCCTAACTTCCCACGTCACTCGTATTTTGGTATTGGTTTGTTTTAGCACAGCAGCAATGGACACACTGTCTGAGTGCAATTAAAAATAATGTGTACAAAGCACTTACAATTGCCCAGCAGAAGAAAATACTGCATAATGGGCTGTCATCACTGATCTGAGGCTCAACCCTGATTAGGGTAGACAAGTACATTTCAATTAGGTCCTCACTGAAAGCAGTCTTGTGTCTGTGTTATTTGGGTCAGGGTAAGACTTGATATAAGCCAGGATCAGAAGCACCCGAAGTGCGCATTGCACCGTGACTCTGTCATACAAACTCCCCCAACTGCGCTGGAGCCACCGAACCGATCCAGTGGAAAGGGTGACAGAGAAACTGATGGTCGCCAGCAAGGACCAGCGTGGATAATCAAGCGCTGACAGCCTCACTTGTGAGACCTTGCAGTGCAATGAGAGGCTCCTGCCTTGCCCGAGAAAGGGGGGATTTGAAGCAGAGCAGCTGCCTCGCAGAGAGACGTAGGCAATTCCTCTCCCAAGGGAACCGTTCACACCCTGTTTGTATCAGCAGTGGTT